TAAGAGAGACCAAAAAAAAAAAAAAGCGGAGGCTTCAATTTCCTAACTTCGTAAATTTATCAAGCTTATCTTCATCGTTAATATTTCCGTTTCATCCTGATAGATATATTTATTTGTAGACATGTTTGTGAAGAAGCTTGTGGAGAAGGCTTCTTTCGTGAAGAAGGTAAGTTTTTGCTTCATTTCCTAATTTATATGCAAATTATCTGATATTTGGAGGATTTGACATTTTTCATTTGTAGAAACTGCAAAAAGTTTTAATAATAAAGGATATTTTGCTGGAGCTATTTTAGGCGAATTTGAATGCTAATTTTTGAACTTTAATCAGCATTCTGCAACTGCTAGTACAGTGATTTGAAACTTTCGTCTCTGCAAACTGCAAAATGACGTCGTTTCATAGTTTGGAGTGCCTATGTTGTTTTTTTATTTGTGTTACTCACTGGAGTAGTTTTCCATCAGAATGCTCTGTTTTCGAGGAGCTCGGAATCGTATGCTTGAGTTTGAATTCCGGTCATTCTGCTTCTCTGTTGATTTGTATGTTTAATTTTAATTATCATTATATATTTGTTGAATACTGAAACCAATAAAAGCTACGGTGTGATCACTCTTCGATAATTCTGAATTTTGTAATGAATTGTTTATTTAGAAGGTCCCAATACATTAGCTTGTTTGAACCGTAGTAGTACAAAAAAAGTGTAAAGTAGTTACTATAAAATGGTTTCAATATGCCTGAAATTGAGCTCTTCTGGACATTCCAGATCACGAATTATATATAGACTGAGAATCCGCTCATGATCTTGTTCATACTCGGTAGCTTTTTGGCTGGACCTATCATAACGTGTTTGTGGAAAAGAATCATCTTCATATTGAAGTTACCGATTCGGGATTAAATAGGTTTAAATTACTATAGATTTTTTTTTTTTGGGTACGATTTATTCAAGGCTTTGATCACATGACAGTGATGTGCGCATCCTATGACGGTGACAAGATATTAAGTATCTCATTAAAATACATAAATTGAACTGCAACTTTCAATGTGATTAACGAACACTTAGGTGTCCAGGATAATGATGGGCGTGAAAAAGCACAAACCACGAAAACAACCTGAGAATTGCGAATTTAGTTGTTTTAGTGCATTTTTTTTAATTTAGCAATTTGGGCAGTTAAAGTTAAAAGTATGTAGTCACGTAAAGACGTGTATTATCCATTTCGGTTAAGATAAAGGTTTGTGTGCCCGGTGCTGACTGTAAAGTTTACTAAATGAAATGTCATCACGACCTTTTGTTTTGATATGCGACACTAAGGCAAGATATAGAATTTACATTGTTTAATTTTTGGTGCCTTCTTCTTTTTTCAACTAATTTGCTCGCTTTATGGTGACAATCAATTGGTTGTATTATTTTTTGACCGTGTAAAGACGATTGGGAAGTTAAAAGTCGTTTACATCTTAATCTCTGCTACGTGTTACTTTTGAAGCTACTGGACTAGGATAATTATCCAAAGACATCCGGCCCCAATGTTTTTAACTTTTTTTTTTTTCACCCTCCCCCTCTCCTTTCCACATTTTAATCCTGAATTTGACAATAGAAAGCACCTTTAAAGTCCTACCTTAACCATTGGAATAAATGACCTCAACAATTCCACGTGTTTAACTTACTTGGCTTACCTTGGTTCCGTCTTAAAGTTTTTTGAGGCATACGTCCTTGTTTGTTTCCCCTTGACCGAAAGAACAAGGAGGAAATGAACAAGCATATATAATATTGTTTTTTTTATGCCGGATGTGATCAATTATTGGAGGTAAACATTGGGTCAAAGCTGTATTTGGCCGTTATTGACATCTCATGTTGACAACTTCTACATATGCTTGTCATTGTTGTTTAAGATGGGATTCTATGTGGGGAGGGGCCGGTAGATGGAGTGAAGCGGCAAAAGCATGGGATGCCGGTAATTATGAGTGATAAGAGTGATGCTATAGGGGAAGAGTTGTTTTCTTTTATGCGTTAATTTATCCCTGCATGTTATGTTAAAAGTGATTTCACCGTCAAATTGTTTCTTTCTCGTAGCCAAAAATCAGCAATAGGAGTTAGAATTTAAGCATGCACTTGCCCACTTAGCAGGGAGTGTGGGCAATTGTAAATAAAACAACTTGGAATAGTCGAAACCATAAGTTGGCCAACTGGGATAAAGTTAAGAAAAAACAAGAAAAAGAATTTTTGTGGTCAAGGTATTAAATATTCCAGATTACTATATGGGTCTTCATAAAGAGATCGTCGTAACTGTTTTTCTCTCTTTGGCTTCTACTTGCTTTCGTCTTCTTTTCCTTACTAACCCAATGCTTTTGGTGAGAATAAATGATTTTTTTTGGCCAACTGGGATAAAGTTGAGAAAAACCAAGAAAAAGAATTTTCGTGGTCAAGGCATTAAATATTCCATATTACTATACTTTCTTTCGTCCTCTTTTCCTTAGTAACCCAATGCTTTTGGTGAGAATGAATGATTTTTGTTTTTTTGGATCAAGTACACATGACAGCTGCACCAAGCTGAGAATAATAAATTTTATAGAGAAATCTTCCTTCGGTTCCGTGAGCATGTGATGGACGGTGGAAGAAATTAAAGCCACCAACGTGCAAATTGTATCCTAAGACCACCGGTATGTTTAAGAGGCTCCACAATCACCAATTCGGGTCTGCCGTGGTCCCCTTGTGCTGTTAAGCCCATACGCAAGACTCAAGACCCAGATGAACTAAGCCAACAGTTTCCTTAGGAATTATTGGATTAGTAAATGGTAATCCATTTAGTATGAAGTTTAGTCACGTGAGTCGTATGTAGAAGAAAGGCAAATACCGTGGCAACATATTCATTAAGAATACTAAGTGATGTCCAATTATTGGTGATATGTATGGAATATTATTGCTGCTGGTAATCACTCGAAATAGAAAAGGATAGCTGCCCCCCACTTAGGGGCACCAGGTATTTAGCCTTTAGCAAATCAATAGGAGCATGATTACATAGATAACTTTCGGATCTGCATGATATTGAATTGCAATTCTAGCAATCAAGCAAATTAACTTGGGAATTAATCTAGCATTTGATTTGAGGATGCTTTTCCGTATGACAATGCAAACTATGCAATTTCAAATTGAATGATGTATAAAGTAGGAACCTAAAAGTACGTTTTTTTTTTTTACCACTTTCTATTTTGTATTCTCAATGATCCATTTTTTGGTCATGATGTTCAAGTACAAAAAAACTATTCTTGACAAATTCTGTAGATGCATATTTCTTGAATAGCATAATGGAACAATTAGCCACTATTTCTGGTAGTGCTAAAGTAGAGCAAAGGATTGATAATAAAAGTAATAATGGATGCTTTTGCATTTTGAATTTTAGGTTTTTCCTTTCTCTTTATAGTCTCGTTGTGATTGCATATGAATTTTGAGAAAGAAATTGTCATAATATATGCTATTGTGGTACCAGGTAGTAATTCTTTTTATTATTTGGTGAAGAATAAAAAGTTAGAGATCCATGAAATTCTCTATCATCTGACAGTTATGAATGTTTAGTATAGATGCCCAGTTCACTTTTGCCTAGTAGCGACTTCTAAGGTAGGAAATATACCAGTTATCTTGTTTTGATCTTTTTTATGCTTGTTGCAGCCTGGAGGGACAGATGGTTTGAAACCTGAAGATGTAGATCCCCGCTTGATTTTCCATTATGGCATCCCATCAGGAGCTAATTTGTTTGCTTACAATAATACTAAAAAGATTTTAGCTATTTCAGTTGGGTGAGTCTCTGTTACAATGATGAGATGAATCAATCATTTAGACCACTCATGGAAATTTAGCTTCTGTTCTTTCTACTTGACAGAATTTCACCGTCATGGTTCACCTGTGTTTCTCGAATGTGTCATTCATTTACTGACCGATTAAATCTACTAATGCTTTTACTTTTTAAACATTTTGAGTGTGAAAATACACAAATGCGTTTGATTTAGTACTATAATAAGTTTATGTGGGACAATGGATTTGCAGATTTCCGCATGATATTATCCTTGCAAACCTCGTTATTCTGAAGAGTTCATCTTTTCTTGTACTTGACATTTGATGTCCAGCATTAGGCTAGAAGATCCCAAATTGCACCATTAGCCCATTATAGTGATGCTTGACTTGTCACGTCTGAGTCTGTTACTAATTAAATCAATTGTCATAATATTTGCAGGGATGGTCGGATTAAATTATTTGGGAAAAATGGCAGCCAGGCCTTGTTGGAATCTCCTGAATTGTTGCCAAGCAAATTTCTGCAGGTAGTCCACCTATAGCGTGCTTTTCAGCTTTCATAATTTTTTCCGACTGTGGTGAGAGATATTGATCATTGACGTTGCTATTAGAACCATGAGTATGTATATCTATTGGCCCTCCAGCATGTGTTCTACTTCATGTGATAATTTACATGAACCGATCCTTTCCCCTGGTTTGGAAAGTGTTGCAACTTATTTTGACCTATATTTCTTGTCCTGCAGTTCATCGAGAACCAAGAAATCCTTGTAAACACAAATTCCAATAATCACATTGAGGCAAGTTGACCAATTTTGAGATCCTTTACAAGTTGTTTTGCTTTTGTCTGGTAAAGCTTTAAGAGATTATCAAGTCAGGAGAAACTTTGGTTCTGCTTGTAGGCTGTTTCTTTTCCTGTATTTCCTTTGTTGATAGTAACTTGCAATCTTTACTAGTTTAAGCAGTACGTAGTCTTTACTAGTTTAAGCACTATGTAGGTCTGGGATCTAGAAAAGAGGTGCTTGTCTTATATTCATGACTTCAAAAAGGAAATCACCTCTTGTACATCCATGTTTCATGCTCCATACATGTAAGTTATACAACGTTCGATGCAACTCAGTAGTTAATAGCATACCTTATCAATAGCTTAAGACTCTAGTTGATCTAAAGATTATAAAGTATATGGCAGGTATTTTGGAGATTCTGCTGGTAATGTTTCCGTTTTCAAGGTTAATCAAGAGACAACTATTATAGAGCAGATGAAGTACCATATACCACTCTCAGCATCCCACGGTGAGAGAATAACAGTTTCTTTGATATAGTACTACATACTTTTTTGTCTACTTTCTCAGATTTTTACAGTGTTATAGTCATATGTATACATATATTTTTTTTTTGGTTTTGTGGTTATGAATATTTGAGATTGGCCAGTGGAGGAAAAAGACTACCTGAGAGTGGGAAAACAAAGTAATCAACAATTAATTTAGTCGGCTACATAGAGGAATTAACAATACCTTGTAGTAAGAGAAGATGCAACAGCATCTATCATGCACAAATCCTGATGACTAACCTTCCTACAGGGAATTCAGGTCAAGTTCCTGCTGATATTGCCGTCATTCATATACTGCCTCAACCTACAGCGGAAAGTAAGAGGTACCATTTTGTTCGTTCAAATGCCGTAGCAAAGTAATTACTTACATGCATAAGGCAGCATCTAATCATAAAATTCAGAATAGAAAAAACAAAGAGAGTTAACATCATCCTTCACTGTGAGTGCTCTTTCCGCAATTATCGTTATCTGCATCCATTTGTATAATTCCTTTCTAAATTGTATATCAGGTAAGGTTATTTCACCAGAAACACAAGTAGCTGTAAGAAGTAGAATTTGATATGGAAATAGACAAACTGATTTACTTTACTCTTGGACTCTCATTATTTTGTCAACTTCTCTGTGGGCTTTTTTCCCCAACAATTTGATTTTGATGCAGGGTTCTTATCATTTATACTGATGGTTTTATGACATTATGGGACATCCAAGATAGCAAAGCCATTTTCACGGCTGGTGGGACAACATTGCAAGCAACATCCCATGAAACAAAGAAAGTGACTGCAGCAACTTGGGCTTGCCCATTTGGAAGCAAAGTAGTTGTGGGATACAGCAATGGAGAGATTTTCATGTGGAGTATTCCAGCTCCTTTGCACTCAAAAGTTGAACAAACAAAAGAGAAGGACCCTTATGCTCAAAATGGTCCACTTATTAAACTAAATCTTGGATACAAACTGGACAAAATACCTATTGCAAAGTTAAGGTGGGATCATGCAGATGGAAAAGCAAGTCGATTATATGTTATAGGAAGCTCTGACTATGCTTCAGCAAACTTGCTACAAGTAACATTTCCTTTTCTTTCATTTTTTTTTTCTTTTTTTTGGGGTATCCAATGTCCTTTCTGAAAATTGTGATTTCACAAGTTATTATAAGAGTCTTTGTCTTACTCATAAAGGTGTATACTTGAGTTTTCATTAATAGCAAATTTAAAGCACGGGGATGCTGCCATTGCGTGATCTTGAATATAGGATTTCTTCTTAAGTGCTCATGTTGTTACCAGTAAACAAAAATGTGACTTCCATTGTGACAGCAGGGAAGTCATGCAAAAACATTTTCAGTTCATCAGACTATTTAGCTTTCGAATTAATCTACTGCACTCTCAGTTGTCAATATGGGACAACACTAGTCAATGACAAGTCGTACTAATTTCAATATTTCTGTTGATTAAAAGCATAAATTTCTCCACACCTGTTGTGGAGGGTGCTTGTCAATATAATAGTAAGGCATCTTGTTATCCCAAAGTTAACTATGAGAGTCAGTGAACCATGTTGAACCCACAACTTTTGTTCTGAAGGATTCTCTAATTCTGGACTCATTTGATGATTATGTTAGCTCTCCTGTTAGTTGATTTTATTTAATTTTTGAACTAACTTGGTGCTAATCTGCAGGTAGTTCTACTCAATGATACTATTGAATCCCGTACAATCAAATTGGGGCTCCATACCCACGAATCTCCTATTGATCTGGAGATAGTATCGAGCTTTAATCCACAATGCAAGCAAAAGAACAACTCTCTCCTTTTGCTTGGAAAGTCAGGTCATATATACACCTATGACGATTACCTCATTGAAAGGTACCTATTACAGTGCCAATCCAAGTCCTCCCCATCACTTCCAAAGGAGATAAAGGTGAAATTGCCATTTGCTGATACAAGTATCACAGTCGCAAGATTCGTGCAAGATAACCCACATCTCCTATACTTGAAGGATCAGGTAGTGACTGAGTTATGTTACTTCTTTTTCTCCTCCTTGCTTAATTTTCAACAATTTGACTTCTTTGAAAATGTTTAGGACTATGATTCACTAGCAAAAGACATATTACCACTTTTTCCATTTGAGACAACACAAAAAGATGGAACGAGCTCAAACTCAACACAACCTAGGGGGCTTTCAAAGGCGAAGAACTTATATATAACTGGACATGACAATGGAGCCATAAGAATATGGGATGTTTCTTGCCCACTCATGCGTCCAATTCTATCAGTAACTCAGCAGGTAATTTCATACAGTATATGATACTTCTGCTTTCAGTTTAGATTCCTTCAAGAAGATAGTCAAGTGCCCCTCTTGTTTTCCTTTCCCCTTCTGGGGAAGCAGTAAGTTGATGGATCAGTTTGAGAAATAACCCTTAGTTGGCAGGAGGAGCCAAACCTCCGACATTCCTCACTTGTTCCCTCAACTATGAAGTGCTATTTGACAATTCCTGTTATGACAAAGAGTTTGTATCTCTTTATTCTATATGCCTTACAGAAGGGTGTGCCCTCCAAATTTCAATCATAGAAGAAGTTTTTCTACTAAACTTCAATGAATCATCATGTTTAACATCTGCAGATGGGCTTGACATGTAACTGCTGAGAACGTCGGACTGCTTTACTTTTTTCTTCTTTCAACATTATAATGTATTTCATCTCCTCTCTCCTCTAGCTTTTCTTAATTCCAAAGCGACTGATCATATGCAGAGTGAGGAAGATACTTCTCTAAGTGGTGTACCACTGACAGCACTGTATTGCACTAGTGATTTGCAGATCTTTGTTTCTGGCGATCAAGGTGGACTGGTAAAGTCTTTTTGTTCATGAAATTGACAAAAGAAAGATATCCACTTTTGTTTTCATGTTGATTCTAAGCTTTCATCATGCACTTTATGCAGATACGGATGTATAAATTTAAACCTGAGCTTTTTGCCCCAGAAACCAGTTTCTTGTCCCTGCAAGGTATTAGAGATGTTGCTGGGAATATTTTTAGCTGAATCTTTTGTCATGTCATACATTGTAGGTTTGAACTAGAGAAACCATTCTAATATACCTCAGTAGAAGAAAACATCAGTCTACACGTCCCAAACATTTACCACAAAGCAGCTTCCTTCACAATGGCCTAGGAGCCATTATGTCATCAAATCTAAGTTGCTTGTTAAAGATTCTAATTTGTAAATTGCATGCTGGAAAAAATTTCAACAGAAATGGCAAATTCTACCTAACAGTTTTTTTACTAGGCCCATGAGTTTATTTGATCCATAAGCTGTATATTTAGTCAAATTCGTCTTCATTCATGCTCACTCCAACTGTACTTGAGCTTCCAAAAATCACACATATCTTCTAACGATTTTGCATGTGCTCATTGCCAGGAGTTTCAAAGAAGGGAAGCGTCATCCAGAGTATTAAACTTCTGCAGGTTAATGGAGCTGTACTTTTCATAAACTCAAGCCAGAATGCTAAATATCTTGCAGTTGGGACAGATCAAGGATATGTATGCTTTCCTCTCCTATATTCAGATTATTGGCATCTAATTTTGAATATTTACATTGTTGTCTATAGTTCCTCAGAATTTATGAATGGATAAAGAGTATGGTTTACTTATTTTGTATGGTAAATGTGTGAGGAGGAGTTGCATGATGGATGATAACGGGGATAAGTTTGAGACTTTCTGACTTAGAATATGAACGGTGCACTGGACTTGGGTGTGCTAGTAACAGTGACCACCCTTTAGACAAATAACACTATCAGGAAGAATGTACTGTATACTTTTACTCATTTAATGCATAATGATTAGGAAAGATTTTGATTAATTCAGATATATTTTTGTCATTATTTTTTAACTATGTAAATGAAGATGCTAACTTTTCTTCTTTTTTTTTGGTTTTAACGTCTTATACAGGTTTGCCTGATTAATCTTGAGGGACCGACTTTGTTGTATGAGAGACATTTTGCAAGTGAACTCAGTACAGGAATAATCTCTTTGCAATCTGTAACTTGCAGCTTGCATGGTTTTGAAAAGAATGTTTTGGTTGCTGCAACTAAGGATTCTTCTGTGGTAGCACTCGAGACTGAATCAGGAAATACTCTCAACACTAACATGATACGTCCTAAGAAACCTTCTAGAGCTTTGTACATGCAGATTTTGGGTAATTTGTTATTAAGTTTTTTCTTTCTTTTGTTCCTGTTTTCCTTGAGATGTTGCTCAGCTCATGGCAGCATTTAAAATCAGTCAAGTTTTATCTCTTTCCTTCCCTGTGAAATCTTTACAGATGGACTGGAGGTATCTGGTAGGTGTCCTAACACATCAGAAAGAACAGAAACTATCAAGGGGAATTTTGACAGTCTACAATCAAAGCAACAAGTAGTGGTGGTTTGCTCTGAGAAAGCTGTTTATGTCTACTCCTTGGTTCACATTCTACAGGTTAGAAAACATGTCATCATTAGGTACATGTAACGCATGGAGAAGGTACTTGATCTGCTTTCCTCTGATCTTTGGCAAATGTTGTTTTTGTTTGTTTAGGGTATTAAGAAGGTGCACAATAAGAAGAAGTTCCATTCCTCTTCTTGTTGCTGGGCATCAATTCTTGAAAGTCCTGGTTCAGGGTTGATTCTTCTATTTTCGAGTGGAAAGATCGAGATCAGGTGTTTCTTCTTTCTAATTCTGCTCCATCAATTACTCTAGTTACATTAGTTGTGTACATGAATACCATCCTTGTTCCACAGTCAGTTGGCATAATGGCTATGAACTTTACCTGCAATATTGAATACTTGCAGTTGATTGAGAGAGGATGTATCAATTTTGCTGCTAGGATAAGTTATTTTGTTGCTCTAATTGTTACTTTTGGAAATAGTTGTACACGTATGAGAAGGAAAAGAGTGGTTTCTACTAAATTGCATATATGAATTTGTAATGTTTTCCAAGTTCTGATTGACATGTCTAGATCACGAAATACTTATGTACTTAAATTCAGATCCTTGCCAGAATTATCTCTTCTAAAGGAAACTTCTGTGAGAGGCGTCAGACCTTCAATTCCAAAGCAGAACTCAATTTCTAACACTTTAGTGTGCTTCTCAGTCAACGGTGACATGATTTTGGTATATTAATATCTCTAAGCTGCTTCAGTTGTTTGATATTCTATACCTCATTCAAGCTTATAACGCCACAATTTTGCAGGTGGAAGGTGATCAGGAAGCATTTTTTATCTCAGTATCACTCCAAAAGGATATCTACAGGTAAAAGGCATTACTGACTCCGGGAATGATTACTAATGCCTATTCTGTTCGCTTTAATCTAACCTCCACACTGTTAGAATATGGGAATGATTCCGTATGGCAGTAGGAGGAAGTACTTTCTGACCTCCCATGTATAAAATGTGGGGAAATCAAACAGGCTGATCTGTGGTGATTTTCCTTTGTGATGATCTCATCTGCTATCTAGGTTTCTGGATGATGCTTCCCAAGTCCATTCACATGACCTAACGGTTGTACAAGAATCCTCGCACATCATTCATAAAGAAAAGAAGAAGGTACACATTTTGAAACTACCTGAACTGCCCCAAGACTGTTAAGTGTAGAAACTGAACCACTGTCTGTCAAACTTGGAGCAACAGGGTTTATTCGGATCTGTTATTAAAGATATTAAGGGGACTAAAGCAAAGAGCGAGACAGATGTTGAAGTTGAAGATGCAAAAGAAAGTATTGAAGCATTGTCTACTATCTTCTCAGTTGCTAACTTTCTGGAAGAAGTAGATAGTGAAGAAAAGAGTGCGGGCAAAGATGACACTGATCTGGACATAGGTACTTCCTTTAAACTATTTTATTAATATGCCTCTTCTCAAGGAAAAAGCTAATTTGTACCAACACCAGCGGCTGTTGAATACATTAGTTCGACACTGGTGCTTTTGAGTTTATTTCTGCTGTGCCTTATTCACAATTTTGTCCTTTATGAACATCTAGTTTGCTCTTTGTTGTGTGCATGTTTTGTTACACTGAGTCATTAACGCAACCAACCATAATCACATGTTTTGCGCTTGAAAAGATGATATTGACATTGAAGATCCTGGTGAGAAGCAGAAAGGATATGGAGTAATGGCAGCTCTAAACAAACAGAATTTGGCAGATACGTTTCAGACATTTAAAGGTTAGTCTGCCTGTGATTTCAGGATGAACGTCTTTCTTTACTTGTTGCTTTTTTCTTAGTTTCATGCATTATGTCACGACTATAGTCATCTAGGATTGTAAGGACTTTTATTCCAAGATTGTAGCCTACAAGGTTAAAGTACATCTCACATCACTTCTGAGTGAATTCCCTTTTTAATCTGTCCAGTTTGCCATCCTATTGTTGTCGCAGATGAGTGTTAACTTTTGTATATATTTCTAGTAAGACAATGGCGTTCATTATCTTCAATTTGCAGGCAGATTTAAACATATGAAGGTAAAGACCGATAAAAAGTCAACAAATGAAGTGATGCAAGACGAGAAGGGTGATTCTGTTGACCAGATAAAGAAAAAGTATGGATACACATCCACTGGTGTAAGTATCCATAGTTAAAATATGCTGCTAAATAATGATGCTTGATAAACTTGTCATTGTCAGATACTTAGATTTTGGATGATAATGACAATGAAGAATACTAGAATCATGGGGCCTTCAACTGCTAATAAATCACAGATTTTTGTATAAGCTGAAATTTGATTTTCACCAAGGTGAAAATGATTGAAGAAAGTAGAAGAATTTTCTTGCCTTGGGACAATAAGCTGCATATAGCTATTTTCGAAGTACCAAAAAAGGTGCATCAAAACCTAAAACGTTCTCTTTCCTTCTTTCTGTGCAGGAACCGTGTGTTGCAACTGTTGCGAAAACAAAGCTGACTGAGAATTTGAAGAAGTTGCAGGTATTGTCTCACTGTCCCTCCTTTCAATATTCACACAGGCCTTTACTAGATTGTAGAGAGGATCAAATGAAGGCTGAGCTAGCCTGCGAGCCTTTCATGGTTAACCGATTCCTATGAAAAAGCAAAGAGACTATTGTTTAGTAATACAAGTTAGTTCTTACATAGACAGGCCTTAAGTTGCTTAAAATAGAAAATGGCATTCTCTATTTTCCGTTAATCTATCTCAAGAGAAAAACATTTCAATCGTAAAGATATCTAGTCTTTTCATTATAAATGTTGCACTAAAAGCACATTATAGTAAATAATTCTCGAGCTTTTGCAAATTGCTCAAATTCTTTAGTAATGGACTCTTCTCATAAATTCAGGTCGTTATATTTCCTTAAACATCAATATATCGAAATTGGTAGCATTACTTATATCACTAAATCTTCTCTTGCGGAATTCCTAAAACAGTCTCAGATGAGATATTCCTGACTATACCTTTCTGCCAAGAGAACCTTTAAAGGATCATCTTCCCTTATACCAAATAATTTTTAGATGATTTAGATTATGGAGAACTGTTGACAAATGAAGATATTACAAGCTTAGTTTCAATAGAATGGTTTGGTGCCAAAACAGGTCACCTTTAATCCCAACAATCTGAAACCTGTTTAACGCAAGCATCTAGGATTTAACCAGAAACTAAGACAAATTTGTTTTATCATGCAGGGGATAGGTTTGAAATCTTCCGAGATGCAGGACACCGCCAGATCGTTTTCCTCTATGGCCAAAGAAGTTTTGCGATTTACTGAAAATGACAAACGAAGTTGATCCTTTCTAATCATTTGGTAAATATATTTTACCAAAGTGTTGGATTATTTTTTCTATTTTCCAACCTTCCATTTGTTTTTCACTAGTTCTTTTGCTTGTACAGCCATTCTAATTTGTTAAAAACCCTGACCAAGGAGTGCGCTGCTTGTATTTGTTGAAATGGTTTACCTAGGTAGATTTTTGGGTCAATTGTATTTATATGCATTTTTTTCTACAGAAATGAATATCTTTTTCCTGTAAATTAATGAGGATTATATTTTTCTTTTTTACTTTCTAAAGGTTCACTGTTTTGTCACGTAAACTGAACTTTATTTGGACCATTTGGTCTACCCTGAAGAACCATACCAGCCAAAATACGCTAAATCCTCAAATTTCATTACTTCCCTTCTTTAGAATTGTTTTTTAACATCTCTCAGCTTTCATATGAACTCAAATCATTTCAAGCCCATGGGCACCTATTGTGGCTGTGGTATTGAAAATGAAATTGCTGGGCTCCAATGGGTTCCTTAATCAGTCAATCATCAAATAACGACATGCCAGGCATATATGTCAAAAGACATGCTGTACTGATGTAGTTTCTCGAATGGCGGGGTACCTCTTAAAGCAATCAAACTTTGTTCGGCTCCAATGCCAAATTACAGCTAGAACGCCAAAAAGCTATAGTTTTGGTGACGGTATGATGACAATTATGCTTAAAGAGAAAAGGCGATTTCAGGCCCAAGTGAGTGACACAAAGATACCAAAATAAATTATAGAAAAGGCAAGTCAAACTTGAAATCAAGTGCCAAATGAACAAAAAGCAAAAAGGAACGCTTTCTCACCTCTCCCATTTCTGATTCAAACTGACAAAGGCTTTCCTATACCCAAGCTTTCTAAAAGGTTTCTTAGCAGTAATAGTAAAACAGCAAGAAAAACAACAGCAGAAACTAGTTACACTCCCTCAAAAAGAGAGAAGGATACTTGAACTAGTAATTCCAATCTCCACCAACACACCAGAAAGTTGCTCTCCGAGTCAAACTACTACACGGAGTAGAAGTACAAAGAAAAGCATCCGCATACTTTTACGAAAACTTGGCAGTTGCTGATACTTCCATTTTTCCAATACTTTACAAAAATAGATACCAGTTTGATCTTACATAAAGCTTTTCTAAGAAGAAGATAGTATGCAAGGCAATAAAAACTGAATGAACCTCAATTAATTACTACAGAATCACATCTGAAAAATTTTATAAAAATTTTCCCAGGACAACAGTTGGCTTATGCATTTTCAGCAACCACATACATGGCTATCTCAAACAAAAGACCCTCGAGGCAGGAAGCACATTGGAAGAGTATCCAGCACACAATATGGTTTATGCATTTAATGCAGATGGAATAATTTAAGGCATAAAATTGCTTTATCAGCTAAGTGAATGCTTCTGTCATACTCCACACAAAGAAATAATTCCAAAACAAAAGAAGCAGCTAAAGAAAATATCTTCAAAATTTTAAGTGTGTACTGGCAGTATGAGTACCGTAATGTCAAGACATCTACAGCTTAGGTAGCAAGTCTGTCAGATGGGAATAGATCTGCTCTTTCATGGCATCTCTGTTATTTTTACTCAACGTAAAAACAGTAGCACCAGGTTCATTTCTCAACCTTGCAACTGTAAATTTACAGACAGCATAGTTATGCTTCAATAACAAAGAGATGCATTAATCAATTTAGTTCTGGCCAAAAAGTGCTACTATTTCTTTCCCACCTTTTTAATTTTTTAAGATGAAAGATGGAAAGACTCGTCTTACGGTTTTACAGATTCTAAGCCCATTCAATATGCCTATTAGGTTTATCATCTGAAGAAAAATAGCACCAATATTTGGGCTTCAAGTATGATTAAAATCAATAGATAATTGATTCCAGCAATGAGCTCCAAATAGGTGGTGCATGCAACTATAGTAAAATAGTTAGAGGTCCACAAACACAAACCTCCAGGTATATCTCTGCCAGATTTTGGTATGGGAATAGAAGCCAAGAGTGGAATATTTGACTGCAGGACTCTTAGTACAGCAGGAAAGAAAAAGGAACTGCACAGCTCCATCTTACCAACTTCATCAATGATAAAAAGTTCAGTATCTTCCTTGACCTATGAAACAAAAATCATCGTCATAAAAATTCCATCAATTAGTAAACAGAGTTTTTTAGAATGCAAGCAAACTTAACAAATGAATCAAACCTAAAGATCTAATGAAAAAATAAATACAAGTTTAAATCTGGATTTGACAGTTATTTAAGCCACCTGCAACTCTGGCAACGCTAGTGATTCAAAGGAAGCCACATCTACTCTGTACCTCCCTACGGTAGGCCATCTAAGAGACTCAGCGCTGCCATGGAAAAATAAGGACAAAAGAATGCCAAAAAAATTTCAAATCACCATTACCACCCACTCCACGTCAGAAACATGACAACATTCCAAAAGACAAAGCAGGAAAACAAATGGCTTGATCATCTAACCAAAGACAGCTAATTCAAAAGAAAATGCGGAACAGAGTTGAAAATGACAAAGCCAAACTGCAGATCCATCTAATGCCAGAGTCAGTCAAAAGATATAACTAGAGAAACAATCTTCAGTAACCTATCAGGTTCTCTACCATTCTTCCCTTGAATCCACTTTAAGAAGATTGGAAGTCAGCATTACTTCACTACTTAAAAATTCGCGAACATTGGACAAAGTCTCAAACCACAACCAAAGAGCCACAGAGAGAAAGAAACAGTGAAATTAACAGCCGCATCACTTGAATGTTTCCAAAACTTACTAAACATGTCTTGTTTGAGCAAACACAATACAATTCTCAATCACCTGCACACACCTCTTCATAGGAATAAACAACAAATTCTCAGCCAAAATCAGAAGAAATAGAAGAAGGAGCTAAACAAGGTCACCTACTCAATTTAAATTTCTAAATTTAACAAAAACTTCGAGCTAATAAGAATTTAAAACAATATTCATGCTAATACAGAAGTAATGAAGTATCTTACACTAATTTTATCCAGAAGCTCGCATTACTTATTCAAAGAATTCAACTAATCGAGCATAACAATTGATGCAGACAAAACAAAAACATAGCAATGAGCCTGATCAACTGCTTCTCTCCACTTCAGAGAAAAAATCAAATATGACATACGGTTCATCTCAAACAATGACGAGAAAATGTCACGGTAACTAAGCAGTAAAAACAAAAACGAGAAAAAAAAATGACGAAATAATACCTGGAGATTTTGTTGGAAGCGAGAGGACCAGTACGTCCATCGACTGTCACCACTTCAAAGCCTACTCTCTCACTTCCTTCTCTTATTTCACCTTTTTTCAATTCAAATATTCATTTCGACTAGGTTTTTCAAATGCTACGTTTTTCCCTCGAAATAAGAATAAGAAATATAGATAGAGAAAGAGCGCTTACGAGTATAGAAACCTTGAACCTTCAAGTTTGGGTAAGCAGTTTTTAGGCTTTCCAACACTCGAATTATGAGTGTCGTCTTCCCTACGCCCTGCGGACAAAAATTCACCAATTATTCAACATCATAAAACTTATCTAGAAAAAAAAAAAAAAAGCATTGAGAGCTTTGGAAATGAGTATAAACTACCGGAGGACCGGTAACGAGAAAACATTTCGCCGGAGCAGCCGCTGCCATATCTCCTCTTCTCCTCCGACGCTGCCTCACTACTCTCTTTCTTCCTCTTCGCTCTCGCAGGTTTTTAAAACTCTCTCACTCTACTTTTTGAAGCGAAATTTAGACCAACGACGTAGTTTTGGCGCTCTTTTCGAATACTCGAGCCTAGTTGCTAGCTGGGTGCGGACTTTATACATATTGTGGGCTAGAGTTTTGGCTCGAGAAGTTTCAAGTGTGATCAACTTAATTAACGAAAATCTTTTCCAAAAAAAATTAATTAACTAAACTCGGTCGAAATGAATATTGTATGGGAGTATATGTAAACTCATAGTACTTTAATTTGATGATAAGTGCTAGTATAACTTTTTATTGTGAAACATAACTTATTAATGCACCAAAGAATAAGAGATTTTGTTTTTTTTTTATCAACAGGGAGTTTTAAATCAAATAACTCCTCACACTTTACGACTCAATCTAACCCTTTTCCAGAAAACACATGATAGATATATTGCTAAGAAAAATCTAATTTGAAGATGAGACTAATTAGTAAAACGGCTGTTTTCTCTCTGTTTCTTGACTAAGAAAAGTGAAAATAATTATGGTGAAAAGAAGCTTCGTGGGATATGGGAAAGATGCCACTTATACAAGTGCACGGCAAAGGAGAAGAACTTGGCAATCAATTACTGAACAGAAAAATAAATAGAGAAATTAACAATAATGGTTCCATCTTCCATGTGCCAAAATGTAGACGATGATGCACACAAAAACACAGATCCATTCTTGAGCCTCAACCTCACCACTGCGGAGAGGGAGAAGGAATAATACTCCAATTAATGAACATACAGAAAAAAAAAATAAAATATGAAAGGCACATGGACCCAACAGTACAATATGCCAAAGATATTTGTCATCCAATCGTTGAATTTGCCAAGGGGCCTGGCGTTCAATATCTTCCCATTGGCCAATGAATATCTTTTCGCCCCAAGTGGTGAAAACCAATTGACTTTTCAGACTTTTCTTTATCAAACGGATTTTTCATGAGAGCCCATAGAATTTCGTTGCGTGCAAGGTTTTCCAGGTTAAACGCCGTACTGGGCAAACCCGAATCTTTATTAAATTGAAAAGGACAAATAGGTACGCTACAGCACTAAAAAGTAAGGGCAATTGGAATTGAAATACAAAATATTGCTGGCATTACAGTTAGAAAATTGAATTGCCAGACCAGGGGACGTGATCCTAACAAAAGCAATATAGGAATAAAAAAAAAACAAGCAAAGGCAACTCGAACGCAGAGAATTAAGCAGCAGTGTACAAGTACTTCTGATTTTGAAAGGATGCAAACAAACATAAACTCTCAATTTACAAAAACATTACAACAATTTTAATTTTTTAAAATTATCTTTTTATGCATTAACGTGTAATTATTTTTTATAGTATCCTCTCAATGTAACTTGCAAGAGGAATTGGCCAATGTAACAGGTTGAGAAAAGAATACGAAGCTCGAAATCCCGTGAAATTCCATTAATATGATCACTATCGACAGGCATTCATTCAAGTCCTAAGTAATTTCTTGCTCCTATTATTATTCGTCAATGGAAAACGTAATTCCCTAAACTCCTATTTAAAGGCCAAGTCATACAAATAGAAGCAGCCATTTCACAGGTTAACACTTGATTAGGTTTTGACCAAATATCTCACGAAGATATTTTTTTGTGCACAGTTAGCTGTCTCTGGTCTTATCGTGCATCTTTTCCTTGTATCGGCAGGCACCTAGCAAATTGCTGGCGTTTACACAGCCAATAACAAATTGGTCCCAAAATTATAAAGGCAAAGAAAGCAACCTCCTCCAACAATTATCACGGATTCATACCTCTTCCACATCAATAAAACATACACTCAATTAATGTGAATCAGGGCTCAAGGCTAAAGCTTAGGATAAGAATTCAAAGAACAAAATGCGAGCCAAACGAAGACAAATTCTAACTACATTATCATTAAGCATAATAGAAAAGGATAAAAGTACAAAGCCATGGACGCAGCTTAAGCAACTGCCTGGCTACTGAAAACTAATTTTTTCTTTTCTTCTTCAACTAACCTCTTCAAAAAAAAATTAAAAACCATAAAAGGTAAAAAAGAAACTATTCATCTTAGGATACTACTAATCAAAAGGTAGAGGTCATGACATTTTTCTTCACATCCTAAACTTCTGGCCCCCCACAGTCCCTTTACTCATCATCATCCTCCTCCTGTAAACAAACATTAAATTCTATTGTAAGCAACATATAGATCAATGAAAACATCAGCATAAATAATTATCTTCTGACCAATAAAATAAGAACTGTAGTTAATTGTTAATTCACAGGACCTCTCCACTTCCTTCCTCATCATCCTCCTCATCATCGTTAACCTCGGACCTAGATTTGTCAGATTCCTCCTCCTCGGCTCCAGGTCCATCAGCCTGTATTGAAATAATATATTTTCAAAGCATTAACATCTACAGAAACGACAAAATAAATCAGAACAGACATAATTATGGTTTTGAATTCAAACGTTAAAAGTAGATACCAGTCTCTTGTTGTAAGCCTGAAGATTCTTCTCATATTCAACCTTCCTCTTATCAGCCTTAGCTATGTATGGAGCTTTTTCCTAAAATCGACAAGGAAAACAACAAGAGAAACGGTCGATTTAGAAACAGTAAATTTTTGACAAACAGGGATAATCTACTTCAGATTTAGAAAAATTACGCACAGCGTCGGACATGGACTTCCACTTGTCTCCACCAGCTTTACCAACCTAAATTCAAAATGAATTTAAAATTAAAAAAAGCTTTTATAACAGGTCAAAAGGTCAAAAGGCTCATCAACAGAAATAGCGCGATTTTTGGATCTAACGGTAAAACACTATCGAAATTACAGAAAATGAACTTACAGCTGCCACAGATTTGTTATTTGGATGCTTTTCCTTGTACTGTTTCCTAAACTCCTCCCTATTTAATTCGACAAAAAAACGTACTAAAAATTAAAAAAATAAAAGGAAATAACAGCTATTCAAATAATCAAATACATATCAATCGCTTACAGATCCAAAAAAAAAAATCAGAATAGGCCAAAAAAAATCGAAAAACAGAAGGCGAGGAATGTTTTACATGAAAACGAAGAAAGCGCTAGCAGGCCTCTTAGGCTTGTTAGGATCCTTGGCAGCCTTTCCCTTCTTCACCGGCTTCTTCCCGGCGGCAGCACCTTTCTTCACAGAAAGCCTGCAAGAAATTCAATAAAAAAAATAGAAACGATCAGATAAATGATACGACGAAGACAACAAAAAAAAACACGAACAACAGACGCAATAGATCTAAAAAAATTGAATACTGAAAACAAACGAAAAGCCACAAAACTCACTTGGTATCAGCCTTAGCCTTCGATTTTCCTCCCTTCATGACGAAACCTGCAAGAAAACCACGAAAACCAGTGAGAATCGTTCAGGAATCGGTTAAAACCGGTGCGAACCGGGCGAGTGAGCGGAGGCAGGCGACCGAGTCATACCTCGAGGTAGAGAAAGAGAGAGATAAGAAGAAGAGAAAGAGAGAGGAAGCAAAGGGATATGCTTTAGCCCTTTGGTAATGCGTGTTGTGTTGTGTGCGTGGGCTGCGTTGCGAAAGGGAGAGATAAGAAGGGGTTTGAAGGAGGGGGATAGAGAGAGAAACTAGTGTGTGTGACTAGTTAGAGTAGTGTTATTTTTGTGAGAGAAAATTGAATCACAGAAACGATTTCAAGTCCGCGGTCTGGTTTGGGCGGGATTTCAAAAATCTCCGGCCACGTCATCGATCCGAGTGAATTGATTCTATTGGAGGTAAGCCCCTGTGGAATTGCTTCGTTGGGGGTCGCTTGGCTCTGTGTTTTCTCTGTGCTTCTTTGGGGAAGGATAATGGCCTTCCGATGGATCGCTGGCGGAACAGAGCGGACACCTGGAGGGATGGGATCTCTTGAGGGGTTTTTGGTAATTGATCCATACGTGTCGTAGTTTGGCTGTGAAATGACGGAATTAGCCCTTCTTTTGGGTTATGACGGTTCAGTCGGGGTCGTTGTGGCCCTATTAAAGAATTCTCGATATATATGAAATGATTGAAATCCGCGTTAGTGACTTCTAGGGACATTTTTGTCATTTTGTGTGTTGTTGTGATATTCTTCATCTTGGTTCTTCTGTTTTGCTATTTTTAAATTTTTCCTCGACACTTTCTATGTATAACAAAAGTATTAGTAATTGTAGTTGCATTATATGGGTAGATCAAAAGTATTTTTCTACATTTTCTATGTAGAATTGTTTGGGTACAGTAGCTCTATTTGGGTTGGTCATTTTTTCAAAAATAAAATTTTGAAATATAATGTTACAGTAATACACATAACTCAAAAAACATCTCATCCATATAAAATATCAAATATTTCAAAAAAAATTTATAATAAAAATTTTTTTATATACATTACTACAGTAATTTTTTTAACAAATATCTCAAAAAACAGCTAATCCAAACAAGAATAATTACTGTAACACTTTTTTGGATGCAATGTATTTGAGATAAAAAAATATATTAGAAATGTCAAAAAATAAGTTGAAATATGTGTTTATGATACAAGTGAAATATTTTATTTGAAAAAATGAGATATCCAAACACACTTTTTCCACAAAAATTTTACATTTTTAAATTATATTTTTATTTCATATACGTCAAATAGTTATAGCATAATTTTCTACAAAAACATTAGAAAATAACAATCCAAACAAACTTTAACTTTCTCACTTACAAGGTTGAAATCCCTTCCAATAAAAGATTACATAATGATTGAATTTTATTTGATTGATTAAGGAAGTCCAAAAATTTTAACAAACAAGTTTTCAACATATTAGGGTAATCTGCTGGTTAAAGCGAGCTTTGTATCTAATATGTGACCGTGTGTAGATTAGGTGATACAAACAAGATTGGTGTCGTACCAAGTTTTGGTAGAGTCAATTAATCCCGCATTTATCCTTCGGCGTACAAGAACCTCTATGCATTATTTGTACGCCAATAATAGTACCTTTTTCTCAATTAAAACGATTACTACAACATACTAGTCAGTTAATCACAATCTTAAATGATAGGATTAACAGTTCATACCGCCTCTTATGCAAAAAATGATTAAAGCTTTTAAAGACAGAAATTGCTTGTTATGTTTATCTCATAGTATTAAGTTAAACTTTGCAATTGCTTGTTATGTTAAGCTTGAAATGTACTTGGTGTCATCGCAACTTCTAAGTCACTTGACGCTTACCACACACACAGGTACACAGTACTAATGTACCAATCCTAAGACATCATAATTAAAAATGTCATCCAGAAGGCAAAGGCACTTGTTGTTGTCTAACAAAATCAGTACATATTTCTTAATCTGAAATATGGTAAAGTTGCATTTTGAAATGAATATGTATATGATTAATCATAGCATGCATTAACTGTAGAAAGTTTAACTCAATTGATCTCACTCTCAAGTGTATGAAAACTGGCCTTGAGCATATGTGCCAATCGCCATTTGATCTCTGTTGGTCACCACCAAAACTTCAAATTTTGGTTGTGTGTGGGATGTTAAGGGTGGCCTCCCATTAGTTACTTTTCGTGGCTTGTCAATTAGGTTTATTTTCCTCTTAAAATACAATAGAATCGGTTATAAAAATGTTATCGTTGTGGAAAAAAAAAAACCTTTAGCATCTGTAAGTGGCAACCAACATCTGTTAAAGCCATTTACAATATGATATACTTATAACTCAAAAATGTTACTAGTATTTGAATTTTTAATCTTTATTTTTTTAATAAAAAAGTGGGGATAATTATTTTTATGGGGTGCTGCATATTCAATAATAATGTCACGTAGCATTTTACGGTTACATTCCGTCCCCGTCCTTTGACTTAACAAATCATATATTTTTTGATTGTTAAATCTCGCCATGCGACTTATTTTGTTGAAAAATGACTTACGATTTAGATTTTTCACAACACAACATTATTTCAAATAATCTTCTATCAATGCAACTTATTTGGCATGCGATTTTTTTTTTTTGTGTTTGTTAAAAATTTTACTATAGTTTAGTGCAAAAAATGTAGAAAAACTTTTTAAGGATTGAAAAAAGGATTGTTTTTGTTTTTTATCTGCCTCTACCTATTCCTTTTCTTATTCCTTTCCTTTATAATCCCCCCAACCTGCCACCACCCCATTCCTCCCGGTCCTCAACGCCGATGAGTCCCTATCTTTCTTTTTTCCCTCCCTCCCTCTTCTATTTTCTCATCTACCGTTCCCGCTTCATTGGACCCCTTCTCTCTCCCCCTTATGTGCTAATCGTGAAACTAAGGTACGAGAAGGAAAAAGAAAAAAAAAAGAAAGATCTATTTGGGTGGTGAGTTTTTTAAGAAATAATTTTTTTTTGGTTTGTTTTTTGAGTAGTTGAGGTGTGTATTTTAAAAATTTTGATTTTTTTTTTGAAATTACGGTAGTTAGATTGGTTAAAGAGTTTGCATAAGAAAAACTCGTGGAAAAACCTCACGTACCAAACAAGCCCATTAGTATTGTTATTATTATTTTAAAAAGCTAAAGTTACTCTTCAAGTGGTAAAAAGAAGTAGCGGAGCTTTTTTTTTTTCAAGTCTATTGTTTCGAGAGTTTGTTTGGATAGGAAGATTTGCAAACAAAATTTCAAAATTTTTTTCACTTACATTATAAACACAATTTTCAACCATCTTTTTATTTCACATACATTACATCACAAAAAATGCTACAGTAATTATCTCAAATAAATATTTCAAATAACCTCCTATCAAATAACAGCTCTTATGCGTTTTCTACCAAGTTTTTTTTTATATATACAAATTTATTGACAGAGTCGAAGAATTTTCACATGGAGTGATAAATGATCAGCAAAAAGTATTTGGAATGATGAGCCGGAACACGTAAAACTCAAAAATAAAAAAAAAGTAATTGATATTGAAATAATTAGCCAAACTCTAACAAATAACGTACAAATCGATGCATTACTGGATCTTATAATTTTTAAACAGTGTCTATGCTGATGCTAGATCAAATCGGATCAAACAAAACAAATTTTGTAAAGAATCTCAAGATTTGGCAATTACAAAAATAAATATGTGTACAAATCTCAAACAGTGGCCTGCCCTGATGTTCTAAGGCTCCCTGAATAAATAACCATAAAACCAGCGGCTTGCCAAAGTTACCGGAGTGACACAGAGAATAAAATATTACTAAAATAAAAAAACTCGGGGCCACGTACTTCAAGTCCTAATAAAGCTAGGTTTAACTATTCCAACTAAAATGTTCCATAGGTAAACGCATATTAGCATAGTGTTATTTAATAGGGTTTTTTTTTTTTATCACTAGCAATTAAGTTGCTTGACTAGTGCGTATGCAAATGATGTAAGGGCCTAATTGTTTCTTAGAAAAAAAAAAACTACAGAGCATAATTCCTTGTAGCAAAATTCCAATAACAAAACCTACCCACTAACCATGCATGCGTGTGCAACAAAGAGTTTACTTATAAAAAATGATTTAAAATCACAATATTTTTGAATGATAGGCATAAATATGGAATTTCTAAAATTAAGGAGTTGAGCCATATTTTAATATAGGGATAATTTTATATATGTCTCATGAGGTTTGTCAAATTATCACTAAACTCCCTTAAAATTTTTAAAATCTCACTTATCTCATTTGTCAACTTTGATAAGACTAAATATTCCTATCAAATGTCACAATTTGACAACATTACCTTGCTCTTAATAACTATTTAACCAAAAAATGCAAAAAAAAAAAAAGATCGCTAGCTAATAATGGTCCATATTTTTTTACATTAGGGTCATGGTAGGACAACAAATGGCATAGATAAATTAAATCTAATCAAAATCAACCATTTAGCCGGATTAATGTAAGTAATTAACATTTAAAAAATTTCATGCACATTTATAATTAAGAAAGTCAAGATTTTTTTGGGGGAAATATGTTTTAATTAATAGTGTAGTTTAAGTTGTATTGAAAACTAAAGTAATATCTTCATATGTGTGAAATTTTCAATGTGTAAATTTTGCTTTTGTTCCAATATAGCTAAATTAAATAATTTACATCGAGAAATTTACACCTTATAAAATTTACACCTTATTTTATTTGTTATTGTTGTTATAAATTTTATAAGTAGAATAACATACGAGTAGTATTGGAATAAAGTTTTTTACCTTTCATGTATTTCCTCCGAAGGAATTAAAATGTTACATGATATATTAATCCAAGGGAGGCAAGTGAATTTTTAAAACTTTAGGAGAACTGAGTGATACTGTGAGAAACTTCGGGGGAGGCATCTAAAATTATTTCTTTAATTTATTTTTGTCTTAAGTCATATTGTGGCTTAGTATAGAAATTTTCCAAAAAAATTAGTCACCTGTTCAGGAGTTTCTTCTTCTTTTTTTTTCTCATAAATTTATGGAAAATGGTTCATATTAGTGAGCAAAAAACATATAATGCAATTTAAATTATAATTAATGTTATAGTGTCAGTTTTTAATATATGATAACTAATCATAATTTGAAGTTAAAATATAAACTATATATATATATGATGTGCATTATAATCTTATTATTGTACATAGTTGGTGTATAAAATATTAATTCATTTGAATTATTTTAAAAAAATTTCTTAATTATTACTCTCTTGTTCAAGGGATTGAAGCTCCTCTTTGGGCCAGAGCGGTCGAACCTCCGCGTCGATTGGTCCAATTCATGGTCCTCGGCCTTGTAGTTGTAGGTAAACCCAGCCCCGGTATCAAAAGGAATTGTTGAAGGGGGGGAAAAAAGGAACCGAGAAATTCCGTCTTCCTGGATCCTGATCGTCATGGTAATTGATCGAGTAAGCAAAACCAGAATAATTATTTATAATATACTAAAAATCTAGGCGTTTTTTTGGGGTAATAAATAGATTCGAAAGAGAAATGGCGGAAGGATTGGAAGAACATGGAAAATCTCTGGCAGCTCCGTTGGTTTTCCTCATTGTTGTGGTTTTCCAGCTGCTCTCCAGATATCTCGAACTCAACAAGAAGGTATGCAATTTTAGTGATTTTCTAGCAAATCAAGTTTACGAATTCTATTGTTTTGGGTAAGCATTAACTGCTGGCAAATTAATATACTGTCTTCTTTTCTCAAAAGTTGAGACCATGAATTAGGGATGATATTATTCGTATTGCTATTGATAATGACCTTATGCTTTACGTGTTAAGCTATGAAGAAATTTATGCTAAATTGACACTTTTAATTTAAAATTTTTCCTGATCATGCTATCATTTTTTCCCAAAAATATTGGTATCCAGAAAGGAATTAAGCCTGATGAAGAGCTTCAGCTGCGGGAAGAGATTAAGAAGCTATTGAAGGAAGCTAATTCCTATTCAGGGTGAGGGCTGCTTTTTCATTAAGATGCTGTACTGCTAGTTTAATAGTTCTATAGGGTTGATTAATTTCGGCATTTTTGGTGTGTGAATTTTTGTGAAGAAATATTTAGTTTCAAAATTTTGAGGTTGTATTTTGTTTTGCAAGTGTGATTAGATATTTGATTATAGGCATTTTGAGACTCAAGTTGATTGTTTATGATTTATATCTTAGCTTGATTGCTTTGCGGGATAGCATGGAGAAACTGTTGCAGTCACCCATAAACGTACATGAGATTTTTGTTATGTGAACTTGATGGTGGGTTACCATCAGTGCGTTCTGCTACTTCAGTTTTATTCATTCACCTTCATAAATCTATCATTTCTATTGCTGCCTGTCCCTGATAGTTGCCCATGTGGTTTAGTATTGCTTACTGCTTCCTTTCAGTTTGGTACAATGAGTTCTTTCCCAGTGTGGTCGGCTTCTAACCTTGCTTTTGTATTAGGAGTTCTTTAACAGGCCTTTGATCGCACTTATCTTTATTTTCTTGTGGTTAACTACCTAGTAAGTGCTTATTTTGTATCATGAGTCTGCTTTGCAAGCAGGCTCAGTTGGTTTAAGTTCATTGTGTTTCTAATGCCCTTCTCTTTTGAGTTTTTAGACCTATTGTCCTAAGTATGAAATGATGCATATGATAATTCAAATTTAATGCATGAAAGTTTAGTTTGCTAAAGGATCGTTGAACCCATTTACTTCTATTGAAAAAGTGTAGGTCCTTAGAAGAATAGTTTTATCTGACCAACTTTTGCTTATAAAAAGCTTGGCAACAGAAACTCTAGAATGCATGGTTTCTGTTTGAAATTTAATGCACACTAGAACGCATGGTTTCTGTTTGAAATTTAATGCACATTCTATCATTAATATTACTGCCACAGATGGTCGCAGTTGGAGGTTCAAGACTCTTATGGTTCTGATAACTAATAAATTTTAATTTCTTTTCCATGTGGTGGGTGAATCCCTCACTTCTCCAGGGTTATTGCACATGTTCCCTTTTTCGGTCTTTTTGGTTTCTTTGGCGTTTGTGTCCTGTAGAAGTTGTTTTGTATTGGGTGCTCATTCCTTGTACTTATAACAAGGTGGAACTCTTATTTTATGTTTATTTCAGGCCTTCAACATTTGCACAAGCTGCAAAACTCAGGAGGATGGCAGCAGCTAAGGAGAAGGAGCTAACGAAAGGTATGCAATTGGTTGAACTTTATATGTCTGTCAGCTATGTTCTTATTTAATCCTTTTCCCTTTGAAGTAGAGATACAACAGAGATAGACAATTGACTTATCTTGCTTCTGTGGTCCTGCTTTATAGATCCCCAGGCATCTGTCTTTTAATTGTTTTCTTCCAGTTGGGTAGAAAATAACAAACATATATAAACTGATTTTTGAACTTCTGAAAAATGCAGAGATACACAGATGGTTTCTTGTCACTTCTTATGGGCAATAAGGAATTACTTTATCAGTTTTCAAAATCAGATGTTTTTAAGGTGGACAATACTCCAGAATTTCTACAACATTCTCTTCAAAAGAGTCTGCCTCTTAACTTGAGCTCTGCTTATTTTTCTTTTTCTTTCCAAAGAAGGTGCCTTTCTTGGTGAAATATCTGATATTTCAGTACACCCTGAAGTCAGAAGCAGGTTTTGAGAGCCTTCTAATTCACTGCAAAACATCACCTGATTATGGGGGACTCGTTTATACAAATCTTTTTAAGCTTTCTTGGTTAAATACTACCTGGGACTCATGGAACCTTTGACAATGTGGCCTACTAGGCTTTGGCTAGGATTGCAGCACAAGTTACAATTCTATCTATGTCTCTGCTATGGAGTAGGTCCAGTGTTTCTTTTAAGTTGGAGGAAAGGGGGGTAGGTGTAAGTGTTACATCGGAACCTTAGGCTTTTAAAGTCAGCCTTTTGACCAGAAGTCACTTTTCGAGGTTTATTCTGAGGTTTTCACCAACACATTTACTTCTCATTCTTCTGCTGGTTCTCCAAATATATATTATGAACCTGAAATTGTTAGAATGAAGTTTTTGAATGTTTCTGATATGGTATCTTGGGACTAACCAATGAAACACACGGTAGGCCTAGGGAAAATTGTTCAGGTGTCAGTAGGCCAATGATGAGACTAACTTGTTCGTCCTTTCTTTGCCTCTGTTCTCTTGCATAACCAGTTTCCAAGTAATCTCATTGAATTAATCACATCCTGAGTTCTTTCTTCTAGTTGGTTGTTGTTTTTATATTTATGGGCTACTTTAGTCGTTATTTTTCCTTTACTTAGAATGTAGCCTGCATTGCTTATTTTTTAAAGGACGCACGGATATGATGTTCCTTGAGTAATGGGAAGCTGATGTGTTGCTTTATGTGGTATGCAGTTCAAGAAATGCATAGCAATGTAATGAAATCGTCATACGACTCACACGCAAAGGTCCTGAAGATGGTAAAGGTAATACTTCATAGATGAAGAATTTGATGCCTAAGAGGTCTTAAATTTTTGGTAACCAGTTAACTGTTACAGGTTTTTGCATATGCTGTGTTGATTATTTGGTTTTGGAGGATCCCTGTAGCTGCCATATCTGAGAGACTTGTGCAACCTTTTGGTAAATACTCTTATGCCGATTTTTTTTTATAGCATTTGCAATTTACACCCAAATGGCATTTGAAATGTGCTGATCACCTCTTTTGTTCAAAAAGAATTAATTTGCTCCTACATGTTTGAATATTTAGACAATAACATCCATTTATTGGTTGATGAATTAAGTGCAACGTTGATTTGGTGAAATACTTCTTTTCCTTTCAGGTAAAATTTTGTCATGGAGGGCTGGAGGTTCTGTAAACGACAATGTCATGGTAAATAGAGTAATTTTCATATTGTGGCCTTAAAATACAGTACAATCTCTGGAAAGTAGAATTGCATTAGTGTCTGATGCATGCTTTAAGTTCACGGTTTACTGTCTTGAGTTGAACCCTGTCAAGGTTGTGGGGAACACTTTTTCTAAGGCATTAGGAGGGCATGCAAAGAGTGGATAGTTGTATATGCATAAAACTCTTGTGACCATGGGAGCAATTAATTTCTCCATCTATGGCCGTTAGACTAACAGTATATTGTTCGAAGCATGGTCTATTAGAATCATAAATTTTATCTGGCTGCGTGTTGATCAAGATGCTTGCTGCCTCGCCATAGGGTTACCAGCCTGTCACATATACTTCAACTTTTTCCTGTGCTTTTTGAGTTATACTCGATCCTGTATTATAAGTCATCAACTCAATCCTTAATTACACCTGCAGCTCGATTTAGTCTTTTCATTCTTTGTCACACTTCTGTTCGATGTCATTTCTTTGCATCTTTAACTTCCAGTCTTTCCTCCTGGGTTGGGCAGGCAGGTTACAGAGGGTTGTGGAAATGAAAATTATTGTTTAGTCCATGAATGCAGTTAGGTTTTTACCTTTATGAGGTTTCTGATTACTTGTCTATTACAACTTCAGGTTGGGATTATACCTTGGCTAATAGTTTCTTCCAGGGTTAGCAAGATTATCAGCCGAAAAGTATTCAAGTAGAATTGCTGAGCAGGCGGCCGGGCAAGGTCTCAGGTTCTAAAGCAGAGCAGGAAATTGGTTATAGATACAAAGCTTATTTTGAGAAATTTGAGTTTGTTGTGTATTTCTTTTTTCACCGTTATGCGTATCCACAATTCAGTGTATTGGTAAATTGCTTCGGACGAAGTTCTTCTAAATCTTGTTTGGTATTGTAGATATCAAATTGAAGCAAGTTCGGAAACTTAGTTTAATTATTTACGGGAGACGATATATATACTCCATAGCCTTCTCCCCGCACTTTGATTTTTTTTTTTTTTTTAAGATTCTCCCCACTGATCATAAATAGTACTTAAGTTGATGTAGTTTAATTGTCAACCAAACAAAATCTGCTTTGACCTGTTCATATATATATATATATATTGACAATTATCCCTCTCTTGTATTTATATGCTTTTTTATATTTAATCTTACCTACCATCTTTATATTTATTTTCTTTCTCTAATTAATCTTATATTTACAAAAACAAGAAACTCGGAAACATCTCACCTGAAGGAAGTGTTTATTCTTAGTAAAGAACAAATGTGCGTAAATAATCTTGAATTAAAACTAAAGCATGAAGCGTTTATTCTTGAATTTTGCGAGAAAGTTTCACCCAATGTCATGTTTTTTAAATTCATGTTGGTCACAATTAGTTGAATATATTTTTATTTATTTAATTAATAAAGTTCCTGAATGCATAAGATAAGATACTACTCTTGGAAGCAATAAGCAGAAGCCCCCAAAAAAAAAAAAATCCAAATTTAAAAGTCAAAGGAAAAGTTAGATTATGACTAATAACCTGAAACAAATAATCTGAAGCAACAAAAATTTTTAATGTGATACATGCAAATCAGATGGTAGTATTACACCAAAAATCTTGTATCAAGTGTATCAAGCACTAGAGCATCCTGTTCAAAACTGTTCCAGTTTAGCAGTGCGTTGAGCCACTCGTCAATGTTTTGCCGATCATCAAAGGATTGGAATACCAGGGATTGATCTGATCATCCATAATTCCTGGTTCCATTGCTTGTTCGTCGTCACGCGCAACCAGTGCAGCAGGCAGGCATGTTATCATTCATTGGGTCATTGATGTCACTCAAGAATTCGTCCGCTGATGATCCCTCGATGGAACTATCAATTTCTTCTGGTTCGTGCTGGGAATGCGAAATAAGCTGACGACCGGCAACTTCTGAGTTAGCCTCCTTCCCATCTTTTCCATCACAAGAATCCTGATACAGGGCAGCAGGCAGGCATATGATATCATCGTTCATAGGAACATTTATGTCACTCAAGAATCCGTTCTCTGATGGTCCTAATAATCCCTCAATCCAACTTTCAGTGTCTTCCCATTCATGCTGCGGATGCAAAGTGATCTGATGCTGATCAGCAGCTTCTGAGGTAGCCTCCTGCCCGCATTCAATTTCAACAGCCCTCTTCTTATCACAGCCATCTTTCCTATCAAGAGAATCCTTGTACAACTTAGCAATTTTCATCAGATCATCTTTGTTTTCTGGCCAAGTTTCAACCTTCCCGTTTGCATCAATGACAATAGCACAAACCTTGATATCACAAAGAACAGAGAGTTCCATACTTTTCTTCAGAACACAGTCTTTTCTTTTCCTGAAGCTCTGCTTTTTGGCTCTCATGGTAGGATGAATGCGCTTGTTTTTCTTGTCTTCCTTCCCCCGATTCTCCTCTCCTGAATTGGCAGCCATTGCCACCATCCTTGAAAGTTGAAAGCCTTCTTTCTAGTTCTTACTTGTCAACGATATTTCTTCTTACACGCAAGAAAGGAGAGGCTGCAGAGCAAAACTACAACTGAAAAAAGACGGAGCAATATTTGTTGATTAGTGTACTATCTATATGTAGTAATAGTAGGGTGAAAGGCAAACTGCTGGGCCAAGTTTGAGAGGTCAGAAAGATTTCTCAGTCTCAGTTTAATGGGTAACTTTCCTAAATTTAATAATACTATATTGTGTTTCCAAGAATTAACACGTTTGATGAACTACGGTATTTATTTTCCTTATTTGACAGTTCAAAACGGTGTCGTGAGACCGAAGAAAGACCTTTTGTCTCCAGTCTTTAGTTACTTCCTAAATTACCCTTATGTGTTAAATTATGTGTAATAGCTATAAGGGTATTTATGTAAATGACTAAAGAATCAGCGGGAACAGGTATTTATGACAGTATCACATTCGCCAGCTGGGCATATTTCTAAATTACGATCAGTGTCATCGCGCGTGATTGTTCTCTCTAGGGTTTTTTTTTCTCTCTCCGGAGGAGGACTTCGCAAGAAGATTCTGTAGCCATGTACGGATCAAGGGGGTAAGCTTCTAAGCCAGATTTTTGGTTCATTCTGGATATTTTATGTGTTATGTCAGTGATTGTGGATTAAAATCGTTATGTAGTGGGCTGCTTTGCTTCTTTCTTTTTTTGGTTTACGAAGGGATTAATAATTGATGTATGTCATGGAATCTGATTTCCGGGTTTTCTGTATATTCTGCTTGATTTAGGTTTAATTCTTTAATTGTTTGCTGCTTGATTTAGGTTTAGTTCGACTTTTCCTTAGGATTGACTGCTAGGGAATAAAAGTTATGTTGTAACGGAAACGGAAAAACCTATTCAGAATCTTGCTACAAACATTAAAAAATGTCAAATTTTATTGTTTTATATATCATGTTTGCCCTGTTTTTGTGGTATGGTACAAATTTTTTTTGGGGGGGGGGTTCTTCTTTGTTGGTTTTTCTCTTTGATTTTTATCTGATTGTTGGTTTTTCCCCTCTGATTTTTATCAGCTTGTCCTGGGTTTGGTTTTGATTCCATGTTTTTAAATCAAAAGGTATCGAAAGCTTTTGAATGGAATCAATAAAACAAATGACCTGCTGTTTGTTTTCCCTATTTTCCCAGGCCCATTAGCTAGTTTAGAATTAGGAAAAATATATATGTAATAATATATGTTACATTCTTTGGGAATTTAGGGTGGTTGTCAATTTTTTAACAAACTTTGGGATTTTTTTGGAGATCATTAATCAATTTCCTATGCATGAAGCTTCTTAAGCTGTTCTTTTTTCTTGTTTGGTCCTGACTTGTGAATAACTGATTGCTTTCTTTAGTTAATTTTTATATGAAATTTTAGAAAAAAAAGTGTTTCAGGTTTGCAAGTATAAAATAAATTTTGGTTTTAGTTACTAAATTACCTGCACGAGCTCCCTGCACAATGATTCACATTTAGCCTCATCTGTTACGTTGTCAGCTAATTGTCATTTGCCCTGGTAATGTGGCATATCAATAGATGTTTCGGGGATCTTATTTTGCATAAAGAAGCAATTCTAATCATGGTTAATATAGGTTCGCGTTCTCATTTCAAATATTCCCTGTTCTGGTTGTATTTGTGTTATTATTTTTATAGGTAAGTGTATATGAGTATGTGTTTTTTTGTTCAAAGGTGGGTTGCTTTAAGTATGAATAAATTGTTTGTAGGCAAAATAGGAGTATGACTTCTAGGTTTTAGGAACATCATGGGTTGGGTTTGGTTTTATTAACAAGGTTGAGTGGGGGTTTCTCCTTTTTGTTGGGTATGAATAATTGAAGGGCAATGTTGGGGAGCGGGGGGGTTTCGGACGGGTACGAGATCGGCTCAAAGAGACCAAGAATGATGGAATCGAATCCCTACTTCGCAGTTGGCAGCGGTTCAAGCGGTTATGGCTTTGGCGGTGGATATCAGTCCTCTGTGTTTCCTGTGGTTCGTCTGAGGGGTCTTCCATTCGACTGCACAGATATTGACATTTTCAAGTTCTTTGCTGGGCTGGACATTGTGGATGTTTTCCTGGTAAGCAAAGGTGGACGGTTTTCTGGGGAGGCTTTTGTTGTCTTTGCTTCTCCTGTGCAGGCTGAATTTGCTCTTCAGAGAGATAGGCAGAACATGGGAAGGAGATATGTGGAAGTTTTCAGGTGCAAAAAGCAGGATTATTATCATGCTATAGCTGCTGAGATGCATTATGATGGTGGTTATGATGACTATCATGGAACGCCGCCTCCTCGTCCAAAGAGATCTCTTGACAAGGATAAGTTGGAGTATACTGAGGTGCTGAAGTTGCGAGGCCTCCCTTACTCTGTGAAGAAGTCAGATATTGTGAAGTTTTTTGGAGACTTTAATCTGACAGATGACAAAGTGCATATTGGGTATCGTCATGATGGAAAAGCTACTGGAGAAGCATATGTTGAGTTTAGTTCTGCTGAGGAGGCCAAGAAAGCCATGTGTAGGGACAACAAATTGATTGGTACACGGTACATAGAGCTGTTCCCTTCAACGCCAGATGAAGCTAGACGAGCAGAGTCAAGATCAAGACAGTGAAGATAAATGATGTTTAGAAATAGCTGATATGTTAGTTTTGTCATCTCTTCCAATGGGTCATTTGGGTTTCTTTACCATGACAACTGTATCTTGTCTTGGGTTTTGTGATGTACTCTGTGACAATTATTGGGTCTGGTTTGTGATATGAAAAGCCAGAACAGTGAAACACCTTTGATATGAAAAGCAAGAACAGTATTTCTGTGTTGATTACAGGTTGAATATCTATAGGTCTTACACTTCATTTTTGGACTAAATACTTGGAACTGTCTTGTGAGTTTTAAATCGCTTGTTTAAACAAGTAATGTGGTCCTTAAAGGCCTGTTTGATGACTTGGTTTCTTTTGTTATTTTTTCTTTTAGAAAAAGGAAGGAATTCATGGGTAGAAAAATCAATCAGCGGTGATGCATGTGTCCTTTCTTTTGTTCTTTTCGAAGAACAGTCTCTTCTTTCTGGTTCTTAATGCCTGTGGTAGTGCATGTGTTGCACAAAAGAGAAAAAGTATGATTATTATTTTGTTTTCCAGTTACAATTAACGGACTCACCCCCATTAATGACAAGCTTGATAATTATAAAGACTTTTTAAGTGCCTGATTCGCGTTCCTACAATTTTTTTTGGGGCTCAATGGTCGCAATATTGCCTGGAATTACGTTCTTCGGGCACTCCATCGCCACTGATGTAAAAATCGCTTCAAGTAAACAATGAAAGAAAAAAAGAAACATGGATCATCTAGCAATGACAAATTACAAATGTGATCTCTGTAGCTGTAACACTCCAAGTAAGCAAACAATCAATGTGGTCAAAGTGGAAGAATTGGGCCCCGATTAGTAAAGCATTGAGTGATGCGCCTCCAGATGCCCATGAAGCTCTGTCGGATGCGCCTCCATCCTCCGTGAAATGTTCCAAGTTCCTGATGAAATCTTTGATAAAACCAATACAGCATTTCAGCTGACAGCATTATGAAGAAAAATGCAAATACTAGAGGCCTGACCGATTGAGGGAACAGGAACGATGCCATGGAAGCTAAACAAAAGCAACCAGTGAGCCACATGCTGAAGCGAACTACATTTCTGAAACGCCCGGAATGATCGGATGAAAACCTGACTTCAGCGCTGTATGCTAAGCCATATAGCAGCAAACTAGTAATGGCAAGCGCGGAAATTATGGGGTGCGATTCAAACGGATTTATTGAGCCGTCCTGGTGATATTTCAGCTGCAGAAGTGCAAGGATAGCCGTCATAGTGGATACGAAGATGTCATTAGGGAAAATGGCTGCGGGGAGCTCAAATTCAGAGAGAAAGTCGGAAATGTTGCGCCAGGCAGCCATAAAGTTTTCTGAGAAGCTTGTGAACAGTTGCCGGTAGTAAGTTCCGGTGTTTTGATCGGCCATTGGGTTACGAAGACTTCAAAAAAACGAACCCATTGAAAGAATTTGATCAAAAGACAGAGCAATCTTGCAAACGGAAGGCAAAAGAAAAGAAAGAGAATGGCACCTAGTTTAGCACCGTCTGTGAATGCTGATGCTGGATATATTTATAGGCGTCGTCGTCGTACTACTTTATTTGGGGGGCTTTGATTAAATTTTTTTTTTTTTGAAGGAAAAAGAGGGCTTTGATTTAACGCGTATGTCACACAACACATTAAACCTGGTTTCAATTTTTCATCGTTGAACTGTTTAAACTATGTGACCTGACCTGATGCGGTGTAATCAGAGAGTTTGTGAAATCATTCGAGTAGCCGCAGCTTACCGCCTCCTTTGGTCAGAAGATCCCTTTGGCCCTTTTCTCGTTGGCACGCACCTGAGTGTAAGCATCGACATTTGAATTTTCATAGATGGCAGTCCAGCGACTTTGTTGTGTTCTTTCCTGCGAGGAGCAAAAGATATAACTTCGGTTGTTTTACTTGCTTGACTTTGGCCACATTGTACTGTTAATAATAAAGAGATTCTGTATTCATTCTTTTCGGTCAAATCTTCCGGAATTCCACCCACCCGGTGAGCTTATGATACAGACGTGTCAATTTATTGTGAGCTGGTAGAGGCCTTGGATGGGCTCATACTTTATTATTATTATTATATACTTTTCCATCCCTCCTCCTCGCACCTTTCTCACATCCAATTTCCTGGTTATAGGATTTGAATGCTAAACCCCTGACAGTGAAAAAATAACATAGGCTTACACCTGATCAGTAGCGCGATGTGTGCATGAGGAAAAATTAGGAAGAGAATATAATAGCGTACCTAGCGTCGATTTCAGGAATTTCCCATAATCTTCCTTGGAATTGTGAAAGAACCACAATTTTATCTATAAAGCGTACTTAAAAGTTGATGAGTTTAGGTTTAGCAATGACAGAAAGAATATGAGGTTTCTTCTGTCGACGTGTAGTAAAAAAAAAACTTATTTGTTTTTCAAAATTGATATCGTAAGTATAGAATCAGAATTAAATGGTAGCTTTATCCGTCAGGAGCGAATAGAAGATGTGAAAGCGTAAGCTTTTGGGTCAGTTCAGCGAAAGAGACGTCGTCGTTTGTCGTCCAATGGAAATATATTATTGATTGGGATGGGAGGACGGAACTGGGAAGTCTTCCTCATCGCAATCTTTCTACCAAAGAGTTTGCAAAGGTTCAGGCAGTCCACGAGGTCCTTTAAGACGGGTTTGCCAGTACTTAAATTTTAAACAGAACAAGTCCAAGTTCACTAGATTTCCCAAAGGTCCTTTTGCTTCCTCAAGTCTATATCCGATGCCTAAAAGTCTATGCGAGAAGCACAATCAACTTAACGCAAATGGCTTCCTCCACTCAATTCGTCGCATAGGCAGTGTAGACGTTGGCTTAAAAGAAAACAATCTAAACGTTATGCGCGAAGCGGTGAAGTGGGGAAAATTGTAATTAAGAGATCTTGAATTTTATATATATAAAAAAAGTTAATATTCTCGTCAAGAACGGCTTTTCTGGTAGTATCTAGTATGATGATATGCACAAAATGCCACTCCTGTGGCTCTGCTTCAAATCCAGACGGGTGCACTACACACCTGTCTGGTCCGGTGGTGGTTTTGTCCCCATCGATCCCCATAGACTCAGTTGAGCCTCCCCCGTAGATAGAGTAGGAGTAGGAGTAGGAATGACAATTGACAAAAAAAAAAAGAAGATGATATGCACAAAGTAATTAAATTAGCATAATTGCAAATAGAATGAAAGTTGTGCTATCTCCTTAGATAAAATAAGGTTAAAGTGAAAGGTTGCATGAATAATTAAGAGATCTTGAATTTTATATATATAAAAAAAGTTAATATTCTCGTCAAGAACGGCTTTTCTAGTAGTATCTAGTATGATGATATGCACAAAATGCCACTCCTGTGGCTCTGCTTCAAATCCAGACGGGTGCACTACACACCTGTCTGGTCCGGTGGTGGTTTTGTCCCATCGATCCCCATAGACTCAGTTGAGCCTTCCCCGTAGATAGAGTAGGAGTAGGAGTAGGGATGACAATTGACCAAAAAAAAAAAAAAAAGATGATATGCACAAAGTAATTAAATTAGCATAATTGCAAATAGAATGAAAGTTGTGCTATCTCCTTAGATAAAATAAGGTTAAAGTGAAAGGTTGCATGAATATTTTTTCCCTTGGTGGTAAAAATCAGAATTCATGAGATAGAGCATACTTTTTCCAATTTCTCTATTAGAGTGCTTGTTTTCCGTTGATTATTTTACTTGATTTTGATATTGGAACGCTTGTTCTTAATCAATTATTTCACCAAACTATATATTTTGATATTGGATAATTAGTTTTTTTCCCTTGATGTTCTTTTTTATTTAGATTTTTTTGTAGATAGATTTTAGATTTTTTAAAAGTCAAAAAATCTAAAATTCATAATTTACTAAAAAGTTTTTTTTGTAAATAGGTTTTGACTAATTCTAATTAGTTTTTGTAAAATCCTAACCAAACAAAACATGCCCTGAGATTCGTAATCCAATAATATCACATGTAGTCGTGTAGAACCAGTCCTAACTTATATACACTTTCCCTCCAAAATCCAACATCTTCCTTAACGTCCCAAGTTAACGGTCTCCTCCCCCTTCCCGGCAATTTTCAACAGATTTCCCAAAAATTTCCTTCCTCCATCCAACCTACCAATTTCGACTTAATTGTGATCGGTTCCGGCCTCGAAGAATCCATACTCGCCTGCGTGGCATCCCTCGCCGGCAAAACCGTCCTCATCGTCGACCATTACCCTTTCTTCGGTGGCCACTTCGCCTCTCTCCCTCTGCAAGACTTCACTGATTTTCTCCACACCCACTCAAAATCATGCCCGCAGCCCGAACTCAAACCCGGATCCTCCTCCGGCGAATTCAACGTCCTTCCTCTGACCACTCGCCCCATGTACTCCTCTGTCGAAATTAGCGTATATTCCCCAGAAATTATTGACAATTATGGACTATTCAGCGTTGATTTAGCGGGGCCTAGGGTTTTATTCTGTGCTGATCCTATGATGGAATTGATTTTGAAAACTGATAGGATTTTAAATGTGGATATAGACGAGTTCATTAGGTTCAATTGCCTGGAATGGATGCGAGCTTCATATGTAGGACTGATGAAGATGGCGGTAAAAATTTGTGGAATGTTGTGCCTTATTCGCGGAGCGCCATATTTATAGATAATAGCTTGACTTTTGCAGAGAAGAATCAGCTGATGAGGTTCTACAAGCTGGTTCAGGGGCATTTTGGACATGGGAATGACGAAGAAGATAGGAAAATTCCAGAGGAGGACTTAGAGAGTCCGTTTTCGGAGCTAAAATCGTACAAACTGATACCCATTTAGCCCTTGCTCTTTTCTTTATAGATTATGTTCAAGAATAACAAAATAATTAGGTTTCTCAAAGCTAAAACTTATACTCTGTAGCTCATGTTTTGCTCAGTTAGTTCAGAATTTCATATCTTTATAATCACTACTGTTGTTGAGTTATTTAACTTTTGATTTTACCTGCATTCAGCATTTTTTACTTCAGTTTCTTTCACCTGTTTAGGATTATTCTGTATGCAATTGCCATGGCAGATTATGACCAAGACAATGTGGAAGACTGTAAATACATTCTTAAAACAAAAGATGGAATAGATCGCTTAATGCTTTGTCATTCATCAGTTGCCAGGATATTTTTTACCTCGTTTCTTGCATGTTTTTACTGTTGTACATACATGATGCATGTCCATATTAGAACAGATCCATTCCCCTGTTTAATATACATTTGATATATTGATTCCTCAGTAAAATGCAGTTCTTTTCATATCCAATTAATCTACACGCAAGCAGAATTTGTTTGAGATTAATTTGTCTATCAATTTGGCACTGTTATCTGTTGGTAATTAGCTTCTGTCTTGAAGCAAAATTGTCATTTATTGTTCTTGTCTTGTCAATAGATACGAAAGCCCTATGTTTTAGTACTTTTATTTTATATTTTCCTTTTCCAATTTTGAAAGTTGATACTTAAGGCATGTCATAGTACTATCAACGTTTGTAAAGGTTTCCTAATGCACCTGGTGGCATGATATATCCACCTTGCCGGCAAGGCATAATTCCACTTCTAGCATTTTTCTGTCGTGCTCATGCTGCTGACAAGGATTGTCTTGATGTAAGTGCTAAAACTTACGCTAAGTATTTCATCTAGACAACTCTAGTTGATGACTTGTGCTACATTTTTATTTGTGGTGGATTTTTTCGGTTACCAGTTAGCTTAAGTTTTTTGGTTTGGGCTATGGTCTACCCCATGTACAAGGGAAAAGGGAAGATAACTAGGCAAAGACAAACATCACTGTCGGAGAAGAAATATCATCTACTCCCATTATTTCTTGTTTGTTCTGTTTTCTTAATCCAATTTGCTGATGGGCAGAATTTCTATGAGTCATCTAGAGGATTGCTTGTTATTTTGTTGAACCCTTATGCTTATCTTATGTTTGCAATTGTTCAAACAGGGTCAAGGGATGTCTGTGGTTGGTCTACTTACAGACAAGGTTTGACCAAGTTTCTTGTTTTTGTTGTATTTTATTTTTCTCTTCTGGATTTTGCAGTAAACATATCTGGTTATAAGAACTACAGGTGCTTATATCTGTCATTTTGCCTATATTTTAGGTTGTTGGGGATTATAAGGGTGTTAAGTTGGTTTGTGGTCAAGAATTATTCAGCCACCAGCTCATCCTTGCTCCTTCGTTTAATCTTCCCTCAGGATTAGCTCCTATAATCATGATTCTAGGCCGCAGGATGCCAAAGACAAGGTACTTAGGGGAGTATGCATCACAGCAAGTTCCTTAAAACCAGATATAGCAAATTGTCTGCTGCTATATCCCCCTCAAGGTCTGCCCTGCATTCAATCTTTTTCTTTTTTTTTTCCTTTAACGTGTCTTTGGTTTTGTATGGTAGTTATGACCAAACTTTCTGTGTCTAGCTTTGTTCCCGGAGCGGCTGACATCAATCCGAGTCCTCCATTTGAGCAGTGATATGAATGTTTGTCCTTCTGGCATGTAAGCTACTCGTGCATTAGTTTGTTGATTTTATGAAGGGGGAAAATGAAAAGCCCAATCACAGTGTCCATTAAGAAAGGAAAGAAAGAGAGAAATGACATGCAATTAAGATTTTCTACAACTCATCTTCTAAGACACATTGAATAGGTGCCAAAATATGGTTTAGGCTGTCGGGCAAAGATTCCTAATGACAAATTTTGTCTCATCAGTCTTCAGCCTTTTGAATCTTGAAAGTTGGTTTAACTAGGTTTCTGCTCTGTGGAGTCAAATTTGATCTCGTTTTGTTGCTCCCATGCTACAGGTTTGTCGTTTATGTATCAACAATTTGTGAAGATGCAGCTCAAGGGAAAGAATTACTAACTACAGCCATAAATGATTTGTTTTCTGTTCCTGTTTCTGGAAACTCTGAGGAAGATTCTGAGGATCATCAGAGTGCAATACAGTAGTGAAAGTAAAACCCACTTTGCTTTGGAGTACTGTGTATATACAAGAGCAAACTGTGGTTTGTGTCTTACTGCTTTCCTTCTTTTACTTTTTGAATCATCGCATCTTTACTTTGGCAACTAATTACTCTATTCATTTGTTTCTCACATTTTTCCCCTTTGTTTCCATGTCTTTTTTTTCCTGGTCTGATATATGCACTGACTTCTCCAGCTGATCGCCCTTATTTCTGTTTGGTTTTTAGGGTGTATTTGATGGTGTTATTTCAGCCTCTACGCCTGACGGAAATTTTCAACACAACAATCTTGTAGATGCATCAGAAAAGGTAGATGATATTTTAGTTAGTTTAACGAAAATTGTCTTGGTATTATTCGCCAATCTCGACACCTTTTCTGTTGCATGTTAAGACTCTCACTGCGATGGGGACTTTTGTACTTTTCATGGCAGCTATTTCAGAGCATGTATCGTGATGAAGAATTCGTTCAAAGGAAACCTCATCGAATGAGGTCATAGAAGATGGTGCATCCGAGCGAAAGTGTTGGGATTTTTGCTCGAGTGAGGATTCAGAGGAAACAACAAATATAAAACACTGGGGATCTAACCAATTCTATAATACATCAAAAGCTAAATGTTGTGTAAGTTCAGTTGAATTTTTTCGCTTTTGCTGCAGCGCGGTTGAACTAACATTAGTACACACTACTATCTACATTTCTCTGAACAGCGTGTGCTTCCAACAAGTACAACATAACTGCTTCACAACAAATGAAAGCAGCAACAAAGCTCAAATTGAATCAACTTCCAGTTATTCACTTTTGAGAAGTATTTCACAGGGTCTATAAAGCAAGTTTACGGCCCTTACTCCTAACTGGAATGCTTCCGTCTTAAGAATCGCCATAGAAAAATCTCCACTAAAAGGAAACTAGTCACTAGATGCAAGATTGCCGATGGTATGAGAGTAAAATATTCTGTACCCGAATTGTGGATACACTATTCTCCTCGGAAAATTTTCTTAGATGTAAAAGAATGAAGTATATTTTCGGATGAAATGATTAGGAGCAAAAAGAAGATAAAAGCAAAGAAGATAATTTTGTGTGAACAAAAAAAATAAAAAGAAACTAAATGATAGAATTATATTGGAGAAGGAACAAAACAAAATAGTATCCAGATTTATGTTTTTATGGAAGGATGGATAAAAGAAATATATGATATGCGGAAAAGAAAAATTGATTCACAAGTAAAAAAAAAAAAAGAGAAAAAGAAATGCCAGGGAATAAAGTCATAAAGTCTGGCGCTTCGCTAGTTTGGTGATAAAATTTTTTCCCTCCTTTGTCATGGACGAAGCGATGTCGTATCCTCCTATAGAACCCGCCAACTTCGATCTAATCGTCATCGGCACAGGCCTCCCGGAATCCATCCTTGCCGCCGCTGCGTCCAGCTCCGGCAAAACCGTCCTCCACCTCGACCCCAACCCTTACTACGGCAGCCACTTCGCCTCTCTACATCTCCACGACTTCACCGAATTCCTCCAGACCCACTCCCTACCCTCCGCTCCCGAAACCCAACCCAGCTCCTCCGGCGAATTCAACGTTCTTCCCCTCACCACTAGCCCTGTCTACTCCTCCATCGAAACTAGCGTGTTTTCCCCCGAAATTCTCCAGCAGTCAAACCAATTCAACCTCGATTTAGCAGGGCCTAGGGTCTTGTTCTGTGCCGATAAGATGATCGACTTGATTTTGAAAACGGAGATTAATCACTGCATGGAGTTCAAGAGTGTAGATGCTAGCTTTATTTGTGAGGGTGAGGAGGGGAATTTGCGGAATGTACCAGATTCGCGAAGTGCCATATTCAAGGATAAGAGCTTGAGCTTTACAGAGAAGAATCAGTTGATGAGGTTCTTCAAGCTTGTTCAGGATCATTTTGGTGATGGGAGTGACGAGGAAAGCAAGAAAATTTCTGAGGAAGATTTAAAGAGTCCATTTGTGGAGTTTTTGAGCCGGAAGATTGGGTTGTCGCAGAAGCTAAAATCGTACTGATCCGATTCGCCTTTTGCTCTTGCACTTGCTCTTTCTCTCTGTTAGTGAGAGCGCTTTGTTTATTTACACTTTCATTATGCTTTCATATGCTTACGAAATATTAGGCTAGTTACGAATCCAACTTGAATTTTAATTTGCATTTCTTATATCCTGGAATTTTGTCCTTTTCTTTTTGTTGCTGTTTTGGTTCTAATTGTGATCCGGAAAGGATTTAACTTTGAGTGTGTTATATTGGTTTTTCATAAGCTTCATTTGGAAATGATTGGACATATGCTTGGATCCATTTGTTAAAAAGCTGTTATTACGTGATCTGATTATGCTTGATCCTCCTGTGGTAACTATTGATGCCTTTTTGCATTTTGTAATGCTCAAAAGTTCTTAAATTATATCTTTGTTCTTTTTTTCTGCCAGGCCTTTTCCTTCCCCTTTTTATTTTCCCACTTCACTTAAAGTTGAGTTGCATTTCTAGCATATGTTTTACACAACCTTTCTGCTTGTCTAGGATTATTTTGTATGCAATTTCGATGGCACATTATGAACAAGACAACTTGGAAGTCTGCAAGGACGTCCTCGAGACGAAAGACGGAATCGATCTTTTAATACTCTATCATAAATCTGGAGGCAGGTTATTTCGTGTACCCTGTTTGCTTGACATTTCTTATATATGGTGATAGGAACAGATTCTTTCATGTTGAAATATTGGAGGTGGAGAGCTTACAGGACATTGACTTCAATAAGCATCCTCTACTTTATCAAGATTAATCGTATGAATTTACCACAATGCTAGGTGCAATGATTGGCTTCTGTCTTGAAGCAAAGTTGTCTCAACTTTTTATTGCAACTAGTTTTCTTTTCTTGTCAACCAAGAATAGAGATATTATGTGCTGATTCTGTGCGCTCCTTAAGGTTCACATTAATGGGTGCTTTGTGCTCGTATTATGCTTTTAGGTTTCCTAATGCACCTGGTGCCATGATATATCCACTCTACGGGCAAGGAGAACTTCTACAAGCATTTTGCCGTCGTGCTGCCGTTAAAGGTTCTATCCATGTAAGTACTGCCTGATAGATTAAACATATTTTTTGAGCAACTCTGGTTTGCTTATTTTGTGCTAGATTTCTTTTTATTTGGTTTTCGTCACCAAAAGTGGAAGGGAAAAGAATAGATCAGTTTAGGAAGAGAAAACGTAATGACAGGAGAAAGATTTCCCAAAGTGTATCTACTATTCTTATCCTACTTCATTCTGTACTTTTTATTTTTATTTAAATCTATTCTGTTTCAGGGCTTAATTGCTGTGAGTTTTATAGAGTTCTTATTATTTTGTTGAAATCCCACGCTCACCTCAAGTTTCAAAATTTTCATGCAGGTCCTGCGAATGCCTGTGGTTGGTCTACTAGCAGATAAGGTCTAATTGAATTTTATGTTATTTTTGGGTAATTGATATTTTTCCCCTGTTGGAATATATAGTTGTCTAAAAAATGATGAGAAAGGTATGAATTTGTATTCATCATTTTGCAGGAAGTTGGGAATTATAAGGGTGTTAAGTTGCTTTCTGGTCAAGAATTATTCAGCCATAAGCTGATCCTTGATCCCTCATTCATTCTTCCATCAGGTTTCGCTCCTTCTTACTTGTATCCTGAGCCAGATGGTGGCCATGATTTTGGCCTGCTAGATGAAAAAGTAAAGGTGGTTAGGGGAATATGCATCACAAAAAGTTCCCTAAAACTGGATGTTGCAAATTGTCTGGTGTTCTTTCCCCCTCGATGTGAGTTCTGCATTTATCTTGTCATTTCTTGTTTTTGATTTTAGTTAACTAGCTTACATTTAACTTTCTGTCTCCAGCTTTGTTTGCAGAGCAGATGACATCCGTCCGAGTTTTCCAATTGAGTAGCAATGTTGCTGCTTGTCCCTCTGGCATGTAAGTTACCGAATAAATTTGTCTCACTTAGCCCTTGCATGGTTACCTTGCCCTCTAATGAGTCTTTCAGAGATTTTGAGTGCAATGCACTGATTGATGCTCTTCCTTCCCTGGTTCAGGTTTGTTGTTTACCTATCGACTCTATGCGAAGATGTTGGACAAGGGAAGAAGATAGTAAATGAAGCAATGAATGCTTTGTTTTCAATTCCTATTTCTGGGAAACCCGAGGAAAACTCTACTGATTCTCATGGTGAAAATACAGTGTTAGGATTGAAACCCAGTTTACTGTGGAGTACAGTTTATATACAGGAGCTCACAATGGTTGGTATTTTGTTCCTATGCTACTCGTTGAGATTCTCATTGTGTTAATGGTTATGCTTGGAAGTATTTGTCATTTGTTTTTCCAGTTCTTCTCTGTTGGTTTCCATATCCCTATATTATTTTGATTGAGAATGTGCATTAAGTTCTTGAGCAAATGGCCCTTATTTGTTTGTAATTTGTAGGGTGCATTTGGTTGTGTGAGTTCAACCTTTATGCCTGATGGGAATCTACAATACAACAACCTTCTAGATGCTACGACTAAGGTATAAGATGCTCTATTTAGATTTAGAAAAACTGCCATTTTAATATTTCTATCTTGACACTTAAAGATGAATTCTTTCTTTTGCTCATTAACATGTTTACTGAAGTAGGACACTTGTGTTGTTAATGGCAGCTTTTTCACAAGATGTATCCCAACGAAGAATTTTTTCCAGAGGCGACCTCATCCATTGAGGTTGCAGAAGATGGCGCGTTTGAGCAATTAGACTCCTAGGTGTTTTGATCTTTTTCTAGCGAGAATGAGGATCCTGAGAAAACAAAAACCAAAGATCTTCCCTCCCTAGTTTACCCGGGGTAATTTTTGATGCTCGTCTCCGGAGGATAAGCACCATAATGTTGTAATTTTTGCTCCGTTTTGTTCTTTTACTTATCGAAATTTTGTCCTTTCCCGCTTAGTTGGAGCTGGGAGATGATAAAAGTCCCCCTGATGTACATCTTGTATGGCATCGTATTTGAATCACCTGAGTTGTGGAGTTATATCTATACTTGTACTATTGGACGGTTTCATCTTTAATGCCAATGATTTTGTTTTCCTTTTTCTTGCAGTTTGTCACCTGGCTTCATTCTTAGCGCAGGTGAGTCCCAACCTGCCCATTTTTAGTCTCTTGTATAATGAAGCAAATGGCTCGATCAAATTTTAACGCATTTCTAGTTTGGCAGAACAAAAAAGATACGTACGATAATAATTGAGATGACATTTCTGCCTAAACGTTTCGCTACGCACTGCACACAATGTAGCCTAGTATTCGAGTGTATCAACACTTGTGTTTGGATTTGAGATTATTTGAAATAATTATTATATCATTTTCTATGATATGATGTACGTGAGATAAAAAAGTGCGTTGAAAATTGAAAATGTGATGCACCAAATAACAGCTATCCAAACTGTCTCGTGAAAATGGTCAACTGAACATGTTCAAATTTAGCCTGAAATTGGGCTCTGCAGTAGCTGATTGAGAAATTTGAGGTGAATTGATTTAATTAGACATTCAAGGGGAAAATTACTGGAATTGACCCAAAAGAAAAGAGTTCGCTTGTTGACCAAATACAAAGAAAATTGATAATGAGAGGCGCAGAGGATTGCTCATCGGACTGTCAAATTTAATCCAGCACCAACAGTGGAAGGTCTAACCCCGTGATGTTGCGTGCAAGTCTGGAACTGGCTTGTGAGAAAGCCCTCTTAGGCATTTTGGTTCCAGGCTCTTGATTATTGGGCCAGGACTTTATGATCTTCCATTTGTTTGGATTGGAAGGACAATACTTCCAGGAAACAGACCCTGCCCTTCGAGCCTTGAAAACCACCCCGTTAGGCAAGTGAGTTTTTTGGATGTTTGCTTAAAATTTTACTATAACTTATTGTAAAAGTTTTAAAATAATTTTTTGAAGTGTATAAATTTTTAAATATTTTGAAGTGTATAGTTTAAAAATTTTAAAATTTTTTTGAGATTACTATAACTAAAGTTTTTAAAAAACTTGTAACAGACAAACTTGGCAAAAAATTCACGTGCCAAACAGGGCAGTAATAGGAGAACTGAAACTGCTAAAAAGTTCTGATTTTGAAGCTGGTGCATTGGTGCAAGGGGTCATTTTTCATCTTTACGATCTTTCAAGTCAATGATGGGATTAGGACTCCTCTATGCACATTTGGGAAGTTGAGCTTTTCTTTTTCATTCACATTCTACAAGAACCATTTAATAATCTACTAAAATAGTTAACTTATCCCAAATAATATTTCGTTTGCATTATAAACACATTTTTCAATTCACTTTTTTATATTTCCAACCATCTTTTTATCTTACATACATCACATCACAAAAAGTGCTACAGTAATTATTTCAAATAATACCCTATCCAAACAATGGATTGGGTGTTCCTATCTATCTATATTTTGCCGAATTCGGCAAAATGTTGATAGTCATTTGAACATTAGAAAAGCATCGATTTTGCCCTCTTGGACATTTGTTTCCTCACCACTAATTGGTTTTAGATAATATAAAAATTTTACTCGATAACACATAAAGAATTTGCGTTGATTTAGATATCTTTTCAGATAGAGCATCGTGCCTATCCACATCTCAAAAGGGAAGCAAATGCAAACAACGCCAGTTTTTTTTTAAATAAAAAAAAAGGAAAATGTGAACATCTTCAGAGATGTTCATTTTCTACTCTAAACATGAAGAGGATTAATTCGACCGAGGAACAGAATGAAGAAATATTTAACACTTGGTCTTGGATAAAACCTTCCTTCGAACAGGGAAAAGTTCAATAAAAAAAGGCGGGAAGCGGAGAAAGCACGCCTTTGTTGGCAAATCTATCAAGACTCTCGATACTTAGAGGCCAGAGTCTGCGCCTTCAGAATTTACATTTGGGAATAGTGCAGCTTTCAAGAGACGGTTTCAAGGCATGAGAATCTGGAAACTAGTGCAAGAACACGCCTTTAAAGGTCGTCGTTGTTAGAGAAGGCAGTAATCTCATAAAGCCGCAAGCCTTTAAATGCATTATTGAACTACTACAACTTGTGGGAAAGGAAATTCGATATTAGTTCCCAACGTTCCTGGGAAAATTACTAACGTAGACAGGTATTACATGTTGAATCTCTCAAGAATAATGATGGCATATTCACCTCTTATTAGATAGACAATTATGTAATAATTATTTAAAATCTCATAATTTAAATTTGTATATGTGATTATGACTCTCGAAATCACATCTTTCGTACCATAAGAAACCTCCACCAAAAATAAGGTTACGGATACATGACTAAATTAAATCTTTACCATATGCTTTTTGACTAATAAATGCTCTAGTATTTAATTAATTTTTTTTCTATTTCATTAATGTACTGCTAATTATCCTTTTTAGACGTTCCAGTTGAATGTAATATGCTAGTGGCTTATGTTATTCCCTCTGTCCCATTTTGATAGTTCTAGTTTTTTTTTCACACAATTTAAGAAAAAGAAATTAACTTTGTTGGAAAAATAAATTTAAATTACTATTTTTCTAAAATACTCTTACATTAAACAGAGTACAACTTTATATTAATTATTCATGGGAACTTGAATTAATAGTTTATGAGAATTTGAATTGATGGTCAAGAAAAAATCAATCCTCATTTTACATTAAATAGGGTAGGTTATATTCAATAACAATCTATATTAAATAAGGTAATTTATACTAATAACAACCTACATTGAATAAGGGTATTTTAGATAAATTAAAAGATAACTACATTTTTGCTAATTTGAATTGATCAAGTTACATTAAATAGGGTAGGATCATACTAATAACAACCTACATTAAAAGATAACTACATTTTTGCATGTTATTATAGACGTTCCATAAATAAAATCAAATAGCCCCCCCCCCCCCCCCCCCCTCCCCGCGCGGGCGGCGGCACAACACACAGACACACATTTATCAAAACCTGACTCTGTGCATTAGGCAGTAGATACTCCTCACTCGTATCCTTAGTCTCGAAAAGGGAAAAATCTTTGCAAAGACGGGTAAAAAGGGATCAAAATCCAGTGAAATTCAGTGTTTGGTAGTAAGTAGTTTTAAAGATGAGCTCTTCATCAGCTTTCAATGCCATGCCTTCATTGCACCAAGGGACAAAAGAGGTTAGAAAAGAAAACAAAATACAGCACACAGAAAAAAAAAAAAAAGAAGAAAAAAGGTTGCAATAAATATGTTGACTACCTTTCTCCACTCTGCTTCTCTCTGTCCTCTTGGAAGTGACAACTGAGGCTCATGCAAGCCTCTTCTTAACTCTTTAAGCCTCTTCCTCTTCTTCTTCTTCTACTACTACTACTTCATCTTTTTCTTTTCTTCTCTGTTCTCTCATTTCTCCCAAAACAGTTACTAATATCACTTCCCCACTCTCTTCTCCATGGCTTCACTCCAAGCATCCCCGCCTCTCAAAGCACTTGTTGTCTTTCGAAACCGCATTCACAAAGGTTAGTCTTTTTCATTTTCACTCTTTATTTTTTTTTCTTTATTCGATTTCATCGGTTATTCAATTTCATTGGTTCTGAATTGTTTTGCATGATTAACTAAAAAAAAAAAAAATTCCATTTGGGATATCCTTAAATATGCAGATAAAATATGTTTGCCAACTTTTTCATGTTGCATGTATGTTTTTCTTTTTCTTTTTTATTTGAAAATTTTGAACTTTTCTCTCAGAGCTGATCAGGAGTATTCATGTGTACCAATTGGAGGGAGGGGCAGAGGAGGTCGTAGAGAGGGAGTATCTGTTTCTTGAGAATCTTGAATATGAGGAGATGAAGTTCCTTGGCAAAGTTTTCACCCTGCAGAAATTTGATGTCTCAGCACATTTTGCAGGGATGGCTAATGGTGTTTGGGATTGCATTTATGTGTTTAACATGGACTTAGACAAGCAGCCTAATCTGGAAATGATTCCGGAGGATTTGTCAATTACTAGGTATCACAAATTTACTGAGTTCTCCATCTCCTATATTTTTTTCTTTGTTAATAATATTTATCCCTGATTAAGTCTAATTAATTTTCTGATTATTTATATTTTACAAGAACTGTTTATTTTGACCCGCTGTGCAATTCGCTGCTGTTAGCAATGGTTCTTGGATGTGGGACTTCAGAAATTTAATGAATTGATGAAACTAACATTGAGAAAAATAGCAACAGGGGTGACTGAACATGGTAAAAATGCACATTTTTCCCCTTACGTTTGTTCCTGTAAAAGGCAGACAGTGAAACTAAAAGGCTGATTTATTCAGTAGGAAAACTTGTTGATGTCATTTATGGCTCCATAACCTTGTGAGCTGGCTGAACATTTACTGTATACTTGCTAAATTGATTGATTAAGGTGTTTGTATTTCTAAGAAAATATAGGGTACATCCACCAAGTTGTTCCATATCTTGGAACTTGATTCTTCTATACCTCATCCATTTCACCAGTGATATGGCTTGAATGTATAAGAGTTGATGACAAAATTATTTTCAAGATTGTTTCAGGACGAATTCTTCAAAATTCAACTTTCATGTTATTAATGCTTCTTTTACATGATGATTCTGAAAGGATACTAGTGGGCGATAAACCAGAATTGGTATTGATTTGTGGCACCAGTCGTATTCTAAGAGCCTTAAAAGTTGTCTTTGGCCCCAATCAAAACATCTCCATCTACGTCATTGAAGCTTCTCCCATTTAACAATTGAATTTTTGTTGAACATTCACAAATTAAGCTCTAGTATTTAACTTTTGGCTAAGGCCTACTCCTTGTGGAAGTGATTTCTGCTCTGTAATTGTCTGACAATTACATCAAACATCATGATGTATTGTGATATGCTTACTCTTCAAGAGTCAAGACGGGTTAGAAATTCAAATTCAGGTTAGCATGACGTTGATGTCTTCCCAAAGACACAATGATTTCTTCTGCACTCAAGTTTGATAGTTGTTATCTTGCTTTCATTAAAGGTCATTTTAACTTGCTTTGTTGCTGCCCATTGTCATGTAGAAACCCTAAGCTGGCATCAATCCCGTCCTTGTCAAATGATCTTCAAATGATCTTCAAATTGGGACACAAAATAGAATGTGGAGATCCATCAAAAGTTTTACCTAAGGAAGGAGAGGAAATTCACAGTGATGTTGGTCATCTTACTCAAAGGGCTCAGCATGTGCCTGTGTTGGATCTTAACTCACTTCCGTGTTCTGGATCTGATAATGAAGAGAATAACCAGAATGCAGCAGGTTAAACTTCAAAACTCTTTATTTAAATGAATAAGAGAAAGTCATTTTCTTTCTCCATGACAAAAGATGATCAGTGAGTTTGGAAGCTTGTCTTCGGTGATTCTGAAGTAAAGTCCATGTGTATTATGTGAACGCAGAATATACTTATTTGCTATGACAAACGAATAAAGTTTATCATTACGCAAGGAAAACGGAAAAAGTTCAAGGGTGGGGTAGATTAGTAGAGGTCACTAATACGACTGACGTAGTGAAGTGTTTTCATTGGTTTTTCCTTGTTGCGTCAGTGATCCACAGAATTGAAGCCGAACGCCTTGTCCACGTGGGAAGTGTGCTTCTAAAGTACGTGGCCTTGACATATTAAATGAAATAGATAAATTCAGATCACAATGACTTACTTTCCTTAGATGGAGAGTGACACTTAAAACGCAAGTATACATGAATTGTGGTCATTATATATACTATGAATATGTACCAAAATGCAACTATCTGAGCCGCTCGACTTCTGTGGTCTCTGAAAAGAAAAGAGAATGTCTAAGGTGTATGATCAATGTTGTCCTCCAAAACCTGAAGCTGAGCATCCTACCTGTCTCTCTCCCACCACCCTTTTCCTTAACAATATACTTATGTACCCTAAAAAACAAATGTTATGCTTAATATAGTTTTTAGGTACCCCTCACTCATTTGTGGTGGACAGGTGGTCTTTGAACTAGAGACTTGAAATTTTCACACGGTCGTTTGTTGTAAATGTGATTCTTGACATTTAGGCATGAAGAAAGGAATTCTCTTAAAATACTTACCTCTCGTATTTCAATGATTTAATGTTTATTTTACTTCAACTATATAACCAATTACATATATTTTACTTCAACTATATAACCAATTACATCTTAGAAAGCTACACTTTCATTCTCATTTGGACTATGGTGTCATGAGAAGGAATGGGAATGACACACATTGTGGTTCGTCATTTGGCGAAAAGGCTTTTAGGGTTGTTATATTAAACCCAATCAATTCTTTATGAGCTGTTTTAGGATAAAAAAGAATAACTTGTATTAGCAAGTAGCACATCTGTTTTCCACTTTCAAAAAGTTACACAAAATCATACTTGTCCAAGTATCAGCTGTCACTAGAGCTTTGTAATTGATGTTCATGCTACTAAGAAAAACACGTCTCTTACTATTCAAAGAAATCAATTTCTTCTAAAACCCATGGAATGGAAAAGAAGAGGTTTGACAAGCTCCAAGAATTATAAAAGGTGATGGTTTATCTATTGAGAAAATGGTCGGATGTAGACATTTTTGCTTTGCATTACTATCCTTCTTAATGCGCCAAAATAAGCTGAAGGAGGGTGTCAGAGATTTTTTTCCATCTACATCTGTTCTAAATGGTATCCGATTGAAGTTGTGGTCCTCTACAGAATGTGATACACATAAGAACTCTGAAGGAGTTGACAGAAATGAATTCTAACTTCTATCGCCTCTTTGGAATGCTTTGGCATGAACTCCATATCATCCAATTTCTTTTCACAAACGAACCTGCTAAACTGAAATTCTGGAAAATCCTAACTTCCTTATAATATTCATGGTTGAGATATAATTCCGAAGGAGCTCAAGTCACGAGTTCTAAGAAGGTTGCTATTAGCAAGGTTTCAGGATGAGAGCTAGAACTCAATTTTGATCTTAATCACAGGCAAATGGTGTCAGCATATATGTAAACCTGTAGACCAGTTGAGAAAGTTTGCATGTTGGAAAACAAGTCTGTCTTGAAGGTTTCTTTTACCATTTTCACCAGAACGATAGAAGATAACTGGATATAAGTTTTAAATGTTTTTCCATGTGGGAATTTGTTTTCTGTTAATGTCTACTGGTTTATAAATAGATGGAAGATTGCAGGTGTAGTAGAGAAGAAGCAAAAGAGGGCTGCAACCAAAGATATAGCAAGACTTGCATTGGAAGATCTTGCCAAGTACTTTGATCTTCCAATTATTGAAGCTTCAAAGAATCTTAAAGTTGGTCTTACAGTACTCAAGAAGAAGTGCAGAGAATTTGGTATTCCTCGTTGGCCACATCGAAAGATCAAATCCCTTGATAGTCTGATTCAGGACCTCCAGGTTTATGATCCTCTGTTTGTTAATGTTATCTTCGGTTGCGTTTACATTCATTTAGGAATGATCTAAGTAATTTGATTAGAATTCTTCCATATTTATAGATCTTTCTTTCAGCAGTCTACTCCAATTTTCAGAAGTCACCTTCTTGCAAATGGATTCTAATGAAACTGTGAGAGGTTTGGAGTGCTTTGGGGATTGTCTGGCCTAACTCCCTGTCTTTTGCGAGTCGAGACTAAGCAGCCACAAATTCCTCAGGATCTAGACCAAATCTGTCTAGTATAAAGTGAAGAATGAAGTAGACAATGGACAATCTTGATTAACACAGATTTTTTGGTATTTTAAACACTTTTTGAGCAGGTTAGCGTAGGTGCAATACATATCATGATTCACATTATGCTTCCCAAATGCATTTATCCTACCAAGGGTTTGTTGCCTTGGTAGTACTTTTGGTTCAAGTTGCATTTGAAAATAATTATGTGAATGCTTTTAAGGTTGGGAAAATGAAATCACATACAATCAGTCTTTACAGGTACTTTTGGACTTCTGTCAATAGAGTTTATCGTATTGAAAGATACAAACAACCTAATCAATTATGAATTCAGGGTTGCATGTGGCACTGCATGTGCGCGTGTAGAATGATTAATGGTAGCTATGGTTATTATCTGCAGGGAGAGGTGAAAAGGCAGCTGGAGGAGGATGAAGCTGCAGCAATGGCAGTGGCAAAAAGGCAGCGAATGATAGAAAGTGAAAAAGAAAGCATAGAGAAGAAGCCCTTCTTGGACATACAGTGGGAAACCAAAAAGTTCAGGCAAGATATCTTTAAGAGAAGGCATAGGGCTAGAGCTCTTGAAAACCAATCTCGAACATTATCCTTGCTTTAGAGCATGAAATACAATTAGGGATTAAAGCAACAAGGAATCATCATATGGAAACTGTAAAAATATCTCTCACCATATGCCCTGCTTTTTGATACTAAGGTTCAACTTAACTTAAACTTTTATTCCATCTTAGAGTTTGATCATTTTGGAATATAGTTGATGATCTTGTTCCTATATGATTCGCCAAATTTGCCTTTTTGTCTCTTCGTTGGATGATTTTCTGTGATTTATAAGTTCTCAATGTAGATGTGGCCATACAGAAAGAGAGAATTGGCTTGTTTGCAGGTTATGGATGACAACTTGCTGAAGGTTTATATAATGTTTGCACTTTTCTGTCCCAATATTTACCTTTTTTCTAATACATATACTTGTATGTACATTAAGCAAGTTTGTTACTCTAAACCTTTAGCTAGGTGGTGTAGTGAGATTGTGTATTTATTGGAATAGGTGGTGTAATGAGATTGTATATTTATTGGAATATTATCCAAAACAGGCTGAGTGTGTTTGGAAAAATTGTATAGGGCAATTACTATAACACTTTTAATGATAGGAAAGATAAAAAAAAAAAAAAGGTGATAAAAAAGTGTTTTAAATACTTGTACAAGTAAATGAAAAAAAAAAGAAAATGTATATAGTGATTTTAATAGACAGTTTTGTGTACTAAAAATAAAATTATTATTAAAAACGTGCTATTTTACAAAACTTCATTACTCTAAAACACGAGATAGATAAAAGAGATATAGGTTTTTCAGTTTCAGCAGTATAAAGTGGGCGGGGTCTTTTCCAACGAAGGTTGCACTTTGTGTCATATTTTGTTTGATTTCTTTCATCAAATACTATAACTTGTCAAAATCATGTCTAAGATCAAACATTAGGAATCTGCCATTATCGATTATTAGTTGGAGAAACGGAAAATATGATCGATGGAATGAGTTGTTGCAGAACACAATTTGTCGTGTGAAGAATGAATGAATGAATGAACATTCGCTTCACTTTAATTGGGCCGGCCAAATCTGGCAAAAAGAATCAAAGGACCTTTGGCTCTCCCTTTGTTGTGGGCTTGGGTTGTTGTGTGTATTGGGGGATTGTGTTGTGTGGCTTAATTATTAAAGACAAGGCCGCTTAAAAAGGTAGTGTGTGTTCGAATTTCGCTGTTGATATGAGAGCTGTGTTCAAGGACGATCTTGTTCGAATTCTGCTAATGTAACAACTGTATTAATACTTATCTTATGTGCTGGCCAAAGTTGGGAATAGGGGCATCAATACAAGGTGGCTTAATTATTAAAGACAAGGCCGCTTAAAAAGGTAGTGTGTGTTCGAATTTCGCTGTTGATATGAGAGCTGTGTTTAAGGACGATTTTGTTCGAATTCTGCTAATATAACAACTGTATTAATGAGTAGTCTGTAAGAACCTTTATAAACGACTTACGACTTATGAGTTCATGAGTATGTACTAATCCTTGATAGTGATCGGAGTCGAATGCATCAAACTTTTATTTATCAATAAATAAATAAGGCAAATTGCAAACTGTCCTGTAAATTTTTATGGCAGTTACTTCTCCAACTGTTATTTTCATAATTGAATGGATCGAGTCTAATTCGTCCCATAAGGCATGTGGATCAAATAGTAGATAATTTAACCGTAATGATGCCATTTCCAATATAGCATGAATTTCAGAATTTCTACTGTTCTTATGCAGCCAAAAGGGAATTTAAAAAAAAAAAAAAAAACAACAACAAATATTTGTAGTGTTCTTTCCCTGGAAATTGCTGTCCAATTCCTCTAACCAAAAATCCAGTGGCACCTCTTCCGGCAGCTTCCCAGGCAACGGTCAAAGAAGGGAGATTGGAGTTTCATTTTAGAAGTCAATAGATTCATTTTAAAACTAATTGTCCTTTTTAATACAACTAAATTTTTGGTGAAAAATAAAACTAATGGTAGCAAAGGAAAGGATAGCGTCACTTGTGCTGACGACAGCAGTTAATGTTGGCGACATAACACTGGAGCACACTGGAAAATATATTTCAACCTTCAGTTTAGGCCCCATTTGGCAAATAAATTTTTTGGATGTTTGTCTAAAATTTTACTGTAGCTTACTGTAGAAATTATAGGAAAAATTTTTAAAGTGCATAAATTTTTGGATATTTTGAAATATATAATTTAAAAACTTTGAAAAGTTTTTAAAGTTACTGTAACTAAAGTTATTAAAAAACTTATAACAGATAAACTTGGCTAAAAAGTTGTTTGCCAAACAGGCCCTTAGTTTAACTGGGTCTCCTCGTCAGTGGTCATATGCTGCCTTAGTCAATTGACAATGATACATTGCCGGTCATTTATTTGACCAATGAATTATTCATAATTCATAATCACGACGTTTTGCATTAATATTTATGGAGAGTAGAGTATATGATCAACAAATTCCAATAAACAACCGAAGCTTGTGCACGTAATTGAGTATTTTCCGGTTAGTAATTCAGGAAATACAAATGAAATTAGATTTAATAACTAAAATAGACTTTCGATTCTAGCAGTATCACGCACACACTAAATACAACTTTAAATATATATATATATATATATATATAAAACACACTTGAGCTTGTAAAACACACTTGAGCTTGTACTTGAGCTTGTAGCTCTAAGGAGTTGCCCTTGGTGATTGATTATATAAACTTGGAACTTCTGCTGGTTATGGTTGAATATTTTGTTAACCAACGAGCAATCAAAGGTCGAGCCCAATTAACTAGTACTTGTGCTAAATCCTTCAAGAAAATAGGTGTTCTTTCACCAACCACAGCTTGCTTCTTTTTCTCGTTTCCCCCCTTTTTTGGTCACAGGAAGTAAGGAAGGAAGGAAGGAAGGAATTAAAAGTGCTTATCATTGGCCAAGAGTGCAAGAAAGATGTAGTGCTAGAGACAATACATAGACCAATAGAACTGGCTCCCTGTTGGTTGTGGAGCAAGCAACATCCCCACTTTAGGTCAAATTCCAACTCCTGGCACAGCATTTTATTTTATTTTTTTAAAGGGGCATGAACTTATTCTAGGAGATGACCTAACAGAGAGTCATGAGAAACCGAAGAGAATTAAATCATCATTAAATTATATGGATTCATTACGCACCCAATCCAGATGAATCTAAAAGAAGCCACACGAGGGGAACTGGTGCAGTGTTTCACGAATCACGTATGTAGAAAGTGGATAACAGCTGAGTAGTCTGGAACATGGCAGCTGGTCGGTAGAGTTCATGAATTCCGTTGCGACATTTATATATATGCTTTCATGAATGAATAACACTACAGCTTAGTTCATGAATCATGATTGGGAAAAGTAGGGACAAAGGAATGTAAGCTTTTTCGTTATACTATTAGACTTGGAAAAGGATGGATCTTTTTTTTTTTTTTTGGAAGGAAAAAAGAGACTTTCTATCCATTCATATCACGAAAAGGATGGATCCAATTGACCAGAAATTCAACAAAGTCCCGCCGGTCTTGGAAAACGAGTGAAGGAGGGGGCTCCATCTCCATGCATGCGAGTCTCGGCAGGAAGAAACAGGGAAGATGCATCTAACCAAAGTCTTCTAATTGTCACTTTCAATGGCTTTCATTACGTGTTATAACCGTGGCAATTCTCTCGACCCGGCAATAGATTGGATGAAGATAATTTAATGGTTCTTTTACTCGATTGAAAAAATATCCCGTCATGGAATAATTTCACATGGATTTAGGCATTGTTTGGTTAGTGAACTTGGATTATTAAGACTCGCTTAAGCTTTTAAGTATATTGAGATTTATGAGAAAATGATACACTGCTCGTTCTCGTTCCTAACAACTTAAAAGAACGAGACAAGCCCACCTATTGATAGTTTTTATTTCAAGAAAATTACAAGGTTCAATTTAATTTTGGGTTTCTCTATTCCATGCTCTTTTGATGAAAGATGATTTCCAGATTAATTTGCCTGCAAAAGTTTTAGATTTTCAGGTTAAAAATTTTCACAACTTGGGATGAGTAATAATTGAACCCCGACCTCATTCTTGGTGTGCCCTAATGACTTTCATAAGAGAATACTTTCACTTTTTGGTCTTTTTAGGTATATATAAGATGCTCGGAATAATCTTTTTACACTATTTTATTTATAGCCAAAAAAAAAAAAAGCGAAAAGCTTGTTGTTGCAATTTTTCGGCAGTTGTTTCTTTGATCATCAAAATTTGTTTTAACTTTTTATCTCAAAATATTCCTTTATTATGGGGAAAAAAATGGAGAATACAAGCAAGAAATGCATCAGTGGAAATAATAATGATGTTTCCAAAATTCAGCTACATGAGAACAGTATTCATTCACAAAATTGACTTTAATTACGAACTAGTCATAGCCCTTCGGGTTCGGTTCCGTGGTTGTAGTCCCAGTTGGGGGAGAGCCACGTCCAGGGATCGAGTCCCCGCATTATTCAGGCTGGTGACGCTTGGGGCAGGCCTCTCCCAGCCCGCAGTAGGATTAGTTGGGCCGTACGGTATTACCAGTCCATGGACCCAGATGCCCTACTGCGCAAAAAAAAAAAAAAAAAAATTACGAACTAGTCATCGTCCTTTTTCGTACCACCAACCCTCAATTGAGACAGAGAGATGAAATATCCAAATAAGGAAGCATTTCTGATCCGCATATAAAAAGCCGGCCGAAATAACTGTACCGTACTTCACTTAAACTGCAAATGCCCGAATAACCAAACAAGCGCCCACACGTAGGACGCATCGTGCTTCCACACTCGAGTCAACATCGTTTTGGAGTATATTCTACTGCGTACTACGCCACTTTCTTTTCTCATCTAATGGAAGATTCAAGGAAAACAATTTCAATTTTCATGGCAATTCCACCTAGTTAAGGTAGGGGTGAGCAAATTCGGTACGAAACCGAATTCATACTTGAGTTCAAATTCAATTTGGTAATTTAAAATAGTATATTTGGTAATTTGGTACAAAAGCGGTATTTAGTAAATTTATCGAATTCTAATATGGTATGAAATAGGTAATGAAATTATGAATTTGTTAATAATCGATTTCGAATTTAAATTCGATAAAATGAAATAGAATACGTATTACCGCGTTCGAATATCAAATTAATTTATAAAATTATATAATATATAGGTAAATGCTATTAA